AACCCCTGCCAGTGTTGAATGGTTTTTCTTAACCCTCTGACTATTACATCTGCAGGACAGCTTGTTCTGTTGAAAAGCAACAGACTTACTGACTAGATCACTAGGTGAAAATAAGGGAAAGAATAAAGAAAAATAATGTAGACATCACATCTAAGAATTGATACACTGATATATAATAAATGCTTGCTTTTGTGTTTAATACTGGTTTGGCTGTCTTGTTGACCCAATGGTTTCAGTCATTTCTAAAGTCACTAATCAGAACAAGTATGCAGTCTAGGAGTTTTGGCTTGGTCATGGACTTCCTGATCTACATGCTTGTTCGAAGTCACCACCTAAAAGTAGTGAAGCCAGAGACAGCAAGGCACCTAGCCTTTTCAGGAGATCAGTATTGGAATCCTCTAGATTTCTGTAAGCACAGGGTCCCTTTAAAGCCAAAGTGGCCTCATTGGCAGCAGCATTTTTTAACACACACCTGATTTCTTGTCCAACATTGCTTCATTTTATTTATTCTTCTTGCCCCAAATACAGTATGCAGACAGCAATGTTGAATAATGTCAAATATATGCATTGAGCTAAAGTTTGGGAATGCGAACATCTATAAATTGTATTGATAAAAAAAATGTATATGTTTTTGTTCTTGGGTATAATGTACCTTTTAAGTAAAAGCAATGATCACATATGATGCAATAACACAACTGAAAAAAAATATTAGACTAACATGTACTACTAAACTTTAAAGGAAACAATCTCCACGTGTATTCAGTTAAAGCGATTCTAAAGGTTCATTTTTTTTTTTTTTTTGTAAAATAATAAACATGTCTATACTTACCTACTGTGTGCAGTGGTTTTGCACAGCACAGCCTGGATCCTCCTCTTCTTGGGTCCCCTGCAGGCTCTAGTAGCTCCTCCTGTATGTCGGGTGCCCCCACAGCAAGCAGCTTGCTATGGGGGCACCTGCTGCTCCATGTGTCCATTCAAAAGTCGCAGCTTGGCTCCACCCCCTCTCCTCATTGGCTGACTAGCTGTGATTGACAGCAGCGGGAGCCAATGGCTCAGCCAATGAGGAGGCAGAGACCCGGGACAGCCGAGGAGGCTGTCCCGGGATTCACGAGGCTCGCACATCACTGGACCGCGATGAGGGTCAGGTAAGTATTGAGGGGCTGGGGGCACTGCTGCACACAGAAGGTTTTTGCATTCAATGCATGAAGGTAAAAAAACCTTCAGCCTTTACAACCACTTTAAGTTAAAGAATATGTAAACCCAACATTTCATATTCTTGATATGTGCCTGCTGTACCATGTGCTTGTATGAAAAAGTATCCTGTTGTCTTTGTATTGCTTCCTTTGTGTGAAATACCTGGCGTTCCCACCAGTCCCTCTGCTTTCCTATTAAAAACTGACCACACTAGGCAGTATGGTCAGTTCTGCAGGGAACTCATTGTGCTCTCCTCCAATGATCAGTCTTGTGCTGACACCCCCCCCCCCACCGACACACACACACACAGGAAAAGATTGGTGTGTGCCGTTTCTCCTCCCCTAGCTCTTATGCAGCTGAGAAGTGTATATTATGTTTTACATCTATACTATACACAATGTTTTGCCTTTCACTCCTATATTAAACTGAATAGGTTGATTTACAAGGTGAGGGTTTACAATCACATTGCAACGTGCCAACAAATAAAAATTAATCTTCTGATTACACCAGCAGAGAGGAATCAAATATGTTGCCATGGGTTACTGCACTCAGAACGTCATCACTATATTTTGTTCAGCTCTCTAGACTAAGAATACCTTTCTTCTTTCATATGAACAGGTAAAATTAGTAAGTGCAACCCTAAAATGTGTATAATCAATCCCATAAAGGGGATTCTAAAGCAAAGCTACCTGACACTGATTCATATCAGTCATAAAAACATTAAATATTTATTTTGAATCCCGGAGAGAAGTGTTTCCTGTGCTAGGACAGCCAGTATTTTCCTCATAAAGAATTGACAAGTCTACTTTCCCATGGAACAAGATAAGCCAGTTCAGCTTGCGGTTCTAGAGTTCTGATAAGCATGGAGATTTGATCTGTGCAGCCAGTCATTAGAATCCCCTGAACTCGGCACAGTGAAAGCAGTCTGCGATCACAGTGCACTGGACTAAATTATTCTTTCATGAATAACATACCACCTGCTACTGTTTTCCTACACACATGAAACCATCACATTCAAAATGCTGTAAAGGATACATGGGCAAGTAGATCATGAAATCTCACCCGCATTAACTAGATCTATGGTTAATAGGTGCAAAAAGAATACTTTGCATTGAAATAAAATAATTTGAATATGTTAAAGTCAATTCCATAGACAGGTAACCACAATATTACTTTAAAATGATGCTGTTTAATGAGGAAATGTTAAATAACAAATACACCTTTCTGAAGCTGGTTAATAATATGTTTGTGGCATACATAGCAACCAGAATCTGTTATTCTTCCAGGGCAGCTTAAGGCTACATTCGCACTAGCTTTGTTAGCAGGCGTTAGACAGGCGTTTGGGAAGCGTTTTTAACTCTCCTCAAATGCCTATGGAAATTCTACACATGGCATTACACAGTGCTGTTCACACTGAAGAGTTAGCGTCGCGGCAAAATTGACGTCTCATGTGGAGTCAGGGGGAGTTGAAGCCTACCATTCAAGTCTATGGTGATGCTCCTGGGAAGCATTTGCAGGGCGTTAATACCATTAAACTTCATTGTAGGAGTTTGTGGTGCAGCTTTAACGCTTGGCAAACGCCTCTCAAACACCTCCAACGCTCATAGGGTGTTTGGGGAGCATTAAAAACGCTTCTCAAATGCCTGTTTAACGCCTGTCAAATGCTATAGGGGTGTTTGGCAAGCATTAGAAATTAGTCAAGTGTGAACAAGCCCTAAAAGGCCAATTCTATCTAAAACAAATAGTTTAGATTTGTGTGGTTACTTAAAATTTGAGTCCTATGCTGCCTTCTTGTATATCTCTGGGATTTGAGTAGTAAATATCCTCACTCGGAATTTCCAACTCCCTAACTCTCATGTCATTTACAAGGCTAAATTAGGATATCCCATTTCCCCAACAGATTGTGCAAATTGTATTGTAAACAAGAAAAGCACACCATATACAGAAGGAATGAGCAAAACCGTTATTATTGTCCTGTTAAAGGAAACCTAGGAAAACTCAACCAATTTCAGTTTTGCATGGAGCAGACGTTACAATAATAGGAACAATCTACTGGATTTCTATGGAAAAAATAGGTAGAGTTTTTCCTACAGACACTAGTTGGCTCAACATTCAGTTTAACAAGGAGCATTAAGAACATGTTACGTACCCCATAGCAAATTCATCAAGGTTAGTTTTTCCATAAGTACTGCTCCTTGATCAAGTAGTTTCTGCACAACGGTGGCATTATAGGGTGGAATGTAACCTTAAAAATATGATAATGTTAATTATGAAAAGAACATTAAAGTTCTAGGAACAACAACATCTTGCAAGATCATGTGTGAAATCTCCAGAAGAGGCAATCATTTACCTTTAAGCATTTGTGATGCACATGTTGTCTCTATATTGGCAGTGCTAAAGTTGTCTTTAACTGCAACTGGGATACCGTCTAATTCCCCAAGGGGCTTGCCTGTAATGAAAAACAAGTTTCACTTTGAGCAAAAAAAAAAACAAAACACGGGAAACATGACATGGGTTTGTAAGCAAGGCATGGCTTACTCCATATATGTGATATGTCATTAATGCAGCATCCACCTGTTTAAACTGATCTTGCCTCCTCTTTTTTGTTACTAGTAGTGATGGATTATAAGCATTTACATTAGTTTGTATTCTGCATATGAAATAAAAAGTTCCTGTTAGGTAGGCTGTATGGAGGCCCGTGATTTCAGGGGACAGCAACCCTGACTTAATACAACTAAACTCCAGGCAAAAAAAACTATGTGTTTAAAAGTTACTATTTCACAAAAACACATCCTAGAATTAAAGGTGTCTGCAAATGTAGCCAGGTGCTTGGCTAAGAAAGGAGAGTGAAAAACACACTGGCTGCAGCTACTCTCTGTAGCTGCTGCCCTTCGGTATTGAACTGGTTAACAGCAAGATGAAGGCGCTGCTGAGCAAAAAGAGTTAAATAGACTCAGGCAGCAGTGTACTGTGAGAACTGTAGTCCAGAGCAAAAAGACTCTACTGTCATCAAGAGCATTTGAATGGCATTTCCCAGTGAGAGATTGCCAGAAGGAACGCAAAGCGCTGCATTTTCTCAGGCTCTACAAGACACAGCTTCCTCTTGCCGAAAGGGAGACCAAACAGTGCACATCGCTGTTCAGTGTGCATTGTCACTGCTGTATATCTGTAGCCTGAGTGGGATCCGGAGTTCGGTGGTGCGAACAGCCAGAGTCACCTGGGTTTAGAGCAGAGTGGACCAATTGCTGTTTTTGGCTGGATGGTGAGCTGCAATATCACTGAGACTGGTGAACTGCGTCTGTGGGGATTTACTATCTGCTGCTAGAGAGACTGAGCACTTTTGGATCTGACCAAAGAGCTATCTAGTAGCTTTATTGCTGTCTGCAGGCTGGCCTAGAACTATTCTCAAGTGCACCAATGGTACAAATGGGCCCTAATGCCCCCTGCCACGGATCCACAGGTGCATGGCGACGTCGTCATTGATGACGAAACACGTAGGGAGGAGCTAGAGCGTGACGTTATCGTGCACCGCAACGTTGTGGCCATCTTGTTGGTTTGAAACATACCACCAGTGATGTGCTGTTTTGCACTATTTATCATGTACGTTTTATACTGCATTTGAGGCATTAAATATTTACTCTAATTACTACACTATGAGGAACCCTTTTATATTTGAATCGGATTGTCCTCTATGAGGATATTATTTATTTTAGGTTCACCATTGAGTCCATTTAGTGTGAAGATCTGGATTTAAAGAGTACATAAGTCTTTGGCTTGTCTCTGAGGATCATACAGCGCATTTTAACCCTTCCTTGAGGGTCAGTGTGTTTGGTGGTGATGAAGGATTTCTCCTTTTTTCCTCTTAGCGGTTTCTGGGTTATCTATATGAGTGCTGTGGATTTGTGGCAGGGGGGCATATTTCCTAAATACCTCAAACCTTGTGGATTGGACTTTTATATTTTTTCCCATTTATGAACTATTTTAGCACCGCACCTTATATATCATACCTAAAATGTAGACTTTCATAAATGGATATAACCAGCATTTAAAGTAAATGTAACCTCTAACAGAATGACAGTCACACTAAAACAGAAGTGCCTGAGAAAAAAAAAAAAAAGGACATTTTTGACAGCATCGGCAGGTATCATTATTTAACCACTTCAGCCCCGGAAGGTGTTCCCCCTCCTGAAAAGGCCATTTCTTGCTATTCAGCACTGCGCTATTTTTGCTATTTAGCACTGTGCTGGTAATTGTGTGGTCGTGCAACACTTTTTTCACATTTATGTCCTTTTTTCACACAAATAGAGCTTTCTTTAGGTGGTATTTTATCCTTTGTGATATAAATAAAAAAAGACTGAACAAAGACTGAACTTTGAAGAAAAAAAAAAAACCTATATTTTCTGTTACAAAAAAAATATACAATAAACTCAAATTTAGTCGTAAATTTAGACCAAAATGTATTCTGCTACTTGTCTTTGCTAAAAAAAATCCCAATACGTGTATATCAATTGGTTTGTGTGAAAGTTATAGCTACTACCCTAGTATTTCAGGGCCAACTTTAGAAGCTTATGCCACATGTTACCCACTCTTCTAAACCACTTGAAGACCAAGCCTACTTTATTTACATGAATAAAACAGGTTTTTTTTTGCTAGAAAATGACTATGAACCCCCAAACATGTTTTTTTAAGCAGAGGCCCTGGAGAATAAAATGGTGGGTGTTGTAATTTTTTCATGTCACACAGTATGTGTGCAGCGATTTTTCAAATGCAATTTTTTGGGAAAAAAAATACACTTGTTTGAATTTTAATGCACAAAAACACAATATATTGTCCAATTATTTGATAAAATATAAAAGATGATGTTACGCCAAGTAAACAGATACCAAACTTGACATGCTTTAAAATTGCGTACACCTGTGTAACAGCAACAAACTGTAAATTTTTACTCTTTAAAAGCCTTTACAATTTACTACTTTAGATTTACACAGGAGGTCTAGTGCTAGAATTACTGCCCTCGATTTGATGTTCGTGATGAAACTCACATGCATGGTGCAATCTCTGTTTACATACCAACACGGGAAATATCCGCCGTGATAGCAATAGTCAGTGACAGGTACTCTTTTCTGAGAAATCTGGAGTATATTAGACTCTAGATCTCCCCTCTTAAAGCATCTGATCACACCAAGAAGTATGATCAGATGCTTTCCCAACTACTTTGATTAAATACTTTTATCAAAGTAGGTCAATGTTACTGTAGTAACTTCAAAACTAACCTGGAGGGGTGATCAAGGATTTTTTTTCACACTTTGCACTGCAGGTGCAATAAAGATGATTGCACCTGCAATGTAATGCTTGCTTTGAACTGTGATTCATGGGTTAAGTTCATGACAGTTCAAAATACTATTGATCTGTGATTGGCTACAGCTAATCTGGTACATTTTACTGGCTGGAAGCTAAAAAGAGTGGGAAATTTGAGTGGAGAGTGAAAAACCGTTTTGCTTTTGACTGCTGGTGATTGTTGGTGCTTGTAGTTGTTTATTTTCTTTTTTGGGGGTCTTGCTAGCAGCTTTTACTTTTTTTAAATCACTTTTTAAATAGCATTTTTTTCCTTTCCTTTCCTCAGTCTGCTAATTAAGGGGAGGGGTTAATTCATCACAGGTGCTACAGGTACTATATAAAATTACTGTAGAGCTCACGCTGAGCTTGCGCATTCTTAAGCTTGCCTCTATTTTGCTTGCTGGACCTTTGAGCAAGTAGACCTTTGATTAAGTGGAGTTAAAAAACTGGAGTGGAAAACAGGAGATTATAATAGGAGTCTTCTAACCTGTAAGTGACAACTGATATTTCCTGTTAGTAATAATATTATTGTAACTGGGATAAAGAGTGCTAGCAGGGTGGAAGGTTTTGTGCAGTGCACAGTGTGCCGCATGTATACAGCAATGGAGAAACAGCTCCAGGATGGATACCGCTGCAAACAGATGTGAGCGGGTTGCCCTTCTGGAAGCTCACGTTAGAGATCTGGAGGAGCAAGTTGCAACACTGGGAAGAACCAACAACCTTGAAAGGAGTCTTCAGCTCTCCGAGCAGGTAGCAATGGGATTGATGTGAAGGGTGCAAGGGCTAGTCAGGATTATCAGGTAGGAAGATGGGTTACTGTAGCGAGAGGGAGTGGTAGGGGCTCACAGAAAAAGAAGGCTGGCTCTGGGTTTGAGCACCCAAACAGATTTGCCAAGTTGGGTGAAGATGTGGTGATGGCAAGCTCAGGGGTGGCAGCCCTGGATGTCACTGCTATCCCTAACAGTCGGGAGGGTCAGTCCTTATTGGTGGGTGGAATTGGGAAAGATGGGGGGGGAGGCTATGGCAGATGATAAGAAGGTTCTCATGTGAAAAACAACCATTGGAATTGGTACCATTTGTGCGAAAATAAAAAATATGCAAAATACTTGTGCACAAGGTGTCAATGAATTAAAGTGTTTGTTCACCAATGCCAGAAGTCTGCCAAGCAAAATAGGTGAGTTGGAAGCTTTGGTGCATGAAGAGAACTATGATTTAATTGGAATAGCTGAATATTGTCTTCATTCTTCACATAACTGGGTTATTAATATTCCTGGCTATGTTCTCTTTCAGAGAGACAAGGTAAAAGGAAAGGTGGTAGTGTCTGTCTCTATGTGAGAAGTGATCTCAGTGTGTGAAAGCACCTAGCTGATGGAGAGTGTGATGAGGCTGAAGCATTATGGGTGGAACTGCATGTGGGGGCGCATATTAAAAAAGGTAATCATTGGAGTTTGTTATAGGCCACCCAGTGTTAATGAGGAGATGGAGACTCAGCTCTTTGGACAGATCGAAAGGGTTGCAAGGGCTGGGACAGTGGTAATAATGGGGGATTTTAACTACCCGGAAATTGACTGGAGTAATGGTACTGCAGGAACAGTTAAAGGGCAAACATTTATAAACTTACTACAGGACAATTTTATGGTACAGTTCATAGAGGCCCCTACTAGGAATGATTCTCTGCTGGACTTGGTAATCTCAGACCAAGCACAGCTTATTACTAATGTCAATATAAATAACATCTGAGTAGCAGTGACCATAACATGATTTCATTTATTGTTAGCTGAAAACAACAAGCACATATGGCAAAAATAAACAACAACAAGCACAAACGGGAAAAATAAAAACGATCAAGAGAACTAATTTTCCGAGGCTGAGAACTGCTCTCCAAGACTTAGACTGGGAGGGAAAGTTGGCATCGATGAACACAACACAGAAATGGGAGTTCTTCAAAGACTGTATGTGAACACACTGCAAAATATATTCCCATGGTCAACAAGTTTAACCACTTGCCTACCGGGCACTTATACCCCCTTCTTTACCAGGCCAATTTTCAGCTTTCAGGGCTGCCGCACTTTGATTGACAATTGTGCGGGTCATGCAACATTGTACCCATATGAAATTTTGATCATTTTTTTCTCACAAATAGAGCTTTCTTTTGGTGGTATTTAATCGCCACTGGGCACTTTACTTTTTGCGCTAAAAATAAAAAAATTGTAAAAAATGTGAAAAAAAAAAAGTTTCTTTGTTTCTATTATAAAATTTTTCAAACAGGTATTTTTTCTCCTTCACTGATGTGCGTTGATGAGGCAGCACTGATGGGCACTGATAGGCGGCACTGATAGGCAGCACTAAAGGGCACTGATAGGCAGTACTAATGAGGTGGCACGAATAGGTGGCACTGATAGACAGCACTAATGAGGTGTCACGGATAGGCGGCACTAATATGCAGCACTGATAGGCGGCACTGATAGGTGACACTGATGATGGGTACTGATAGACAGCACTGACTGGCATCACTGCTGGGCACTGACTGGTGGCACTGACTGGCACAACCCCTGGGCACTGACTGGTGGCACTGACTGGCAGCACTGCTGGGCTGCACTGGTGGGCGGCACAGGTGGGTGGGCACAGGTGGGTGGCACTGGTGGGCACAGGTGGGTGGGCACAGGTAGGTGGCACTGCAGAGTGGCACAGGTGGGTGCACTGCTGGGCACAGGTAGGTGGCACTGCAGAGTGGCACAGGTGGGTGCACTGCTGGGCACAGGTGGGTGCACTGCTGGGCGCACTGCTGGGCACAGGTGGGCGGAGCTTGCGGGCGGCACTGCTGGGCACCGATCATCAGGGCACTGATCATCAGATCAGTGCCCTGATGATCGGTGCCGATCCCCGCTCTGACAACTGCCGGTTCTCGGCAGTACTTTCCTCACGATCTGACAGCGTGAGGAAAGTGCAGCCGAGAACCGGCACTTGCATTTTCCTCTGATCAGCATGTCATTGGACACCGCCGATCACGTGGTAAAAGGCCGCTGTGATTGGCCTTTTACCACATCACGTGATCAGCTGTGTCCGTAGGACACAGCGATCACGGAGATCGCCGGGTGCGCGCCCAGGAGAGCGCGTTCTGGGAGGACGTCATATGACGTCCACCCAGAACTGGCTGGCCGCAGTGCAGCCGTCATTCGGCTATCTGCGGTCGGCTATAGTTAAAGGCTAAAAATCAAACTTATGTGGCTTACGGCCAAAGTTAAAAAAGCTATAAAAAATAAAAGAGCTTTTATTAAAAATAAAAATGAAAGAATGCTATCATCGTTTAAACAATACAAAGAATATAACAAAATATGCAAAAATGAAATTAAGGCTGCAAAAATTGAAAACGAATGACAGATTGCAAAAGATAACAGGACAAACCCCCAAAAATTCTTCAAATATATTAATACTAAAAAGGTTCGGTCCGAGCATGTAGGCACTTTACAAAATAATCTAGAGTGGGTGACTGGGGACAAAGAAGGCAAATTTATTAAATACCTCCTTCAGCTCTGTGTATACAAAGGAGCATGGGGGAGCTCTTGTCCACAATGGGCATGGTATTGATACAATGGCGTCCACCCTCTGATGAAGTGCCGTAGCACGAAAGGCCTCAGGAGGAGCCAGTAGCAAGTGTGACTTCCTGGCCACTGAGACCAGGAGGAGGTCCGGTGGTCTCTGATTCTTACCTGCCGGGTTAGTACATGTTTTATTTATCTTTCACACTTACCAGTCCGCTTGATGGCCGATGGTATTTGTATGCACATGTGACCCTGGCTTAACTACTGTTGATCCAATAAAGTTTTGAACCTACTACACTATTGGCGTTCCCTTTTTTTTCTTTGACCCTCTTGCTGGAGGGTTTCAGATCTACATCTACCATTTCTGGGGTACCTGGAACCAGGAGGGGGACCCCTGTCTACCTATCATTTGGGGCAAGAGGGCTCTCTGGACCTGGAGGTATATTACTACACCCAAGGCTGATGTCAGTGTTTAAGAGGGATGATCTATGTGTTCTCTGGATCTGCATGCCTGGCTGGTCATCTGGATAAAATTACACACATGCGCATTTAAAATGCGCGGTCGGTGAGTGCGCATTTTTTCTGTTTGATTCCAGTCACCTAATGAGGAGGAGGCCTTCACATGTTTGATTATTTTATTGTGAAAGGACTTTACGAACTATTTCACTTTTATTATTTTTAATTATATTACAGCGCTGCACTATATATTTAATATGCTTGTTATGAGGTCCAGTGATTCCTTGGAGTGTTTCAGCAGCTGATTTTTTGAGCGCTCGCTTTACTTTTATTCTATGGTATTGATACAGCCCCAGGTGATCCAAATTGGCTCACAACTGATATGATCTAGAAATATTTAGACAGAATAAAAGGTGAATAAAGCACCTGGACCAGATGGCATACACCCATGGGTCCTTAAAAAATTGAGCTCTGTCATTTCAAAGCCATTGTTTCTCATTTTTAGGGAACCTTTAATGATTGGCATAGTACAACTGGATTGGCGTAAGGCCAATGTGATGCCTATTATTAAAAAAGGATCAAAATCTTCACCAAGTAATTATATACCTGTTAGTTTAACTTCTATAGTTGTGAAGATACTGGAGAGTTTAATAAAAGACCACAAAGAAGAGTTCTTGCTGGAAAAAAATATTTTAACCAACAGACAGCATGGATTCATGAAAGACAGAAGTTGTCAAACAAATCTGATTTCTTTTTATGATGAGGTGAGCAAAACCTTGGACAGAGGGGTGGTAGTGGATTTTGCAAAAGCATTCAGTAATGGGACCCTTACTTTTTAATACATTTATAAACAATATAGAGTCTGGGATTAAAAATACTGTTTCAGTCTTTGCAGATGACACCAAGCTTTGCAGTGGAATAACGTCCTTACAGTTGTCTTCAATTTACAAGCTGACCTCAATGAACTGTTTAATTGGGCAAAGTATGTGGCAAATGAGGTTTAATGTTGATAAATGTAAGGTTCTGCACTTGGGGGCTAAGAATATGCATGTATCATACATACGAGGGGGGTACAACTGGGGGAATCAATGGTGGAGAAGGATCTGGAAGTTCTGGAAGATCACAAGCTTAATAATGGCATGCAATTCCAAGCTGCAGTTTCTAAAGTGAGCAAAATCCTCTCTTGTATTAAAAGAGGTATAGACTCCAGAGAGAGAGAAAGTTATAATTTTACCCCTGTACAAATCATTAGTAAGACCTCATCTGGAATATGCAGTTCAGTTTTGGGCACCAATTTACAAAAAGAACATTGGGGAACTGGAGAAAGTGCAGCAAAGGGCAACCAAACTGACAAGAGGCATGGAGGAGCTCAGCTATGAGAAAAGATTAACTGAACTTATTCTCTCTTCAGAAGAGGACATTAAGGGGGTCAACATGTATAAATACATCAGTGGGTCATATAGTGAACTCGGTGCAGAGTTATTCACCCTGAGGTCATCACGGAGGACATGGGGATACTCTTTATGTCTGTAGGAAAAGAGATTTAATCTCCAAATACGGAAAGGTTTCTTCACAGTAAGAGCTGTGAATATGTGGAATAAAATAGAATGGGTAACCTGTAGGTAAAGAGAAAATATGAGAGTTTACTACCACTTTAACATCTGGGGCTATCAAAGGGTTAACAGAGTGCTGTTTGTGCTTACTGTGTGCAGTTTTACTACTGGATGTACTGCTTTTTATCTCTCTGCTTTGAAAAGAGATAGAAAGCAACACGTCCCTGTTGACAGGAGAGAGACCTGTGTTGTTTACACTCACAGATCTCTCTCCTGTCAGCTGTTCCGCCGATCACCGGCTCCCGGCCATGAGTCACTGGCAGGGACCCGGTGACTGACATCTCCAGGAGCCAATGACAGCGCAGGTAGGGCAGAACGCGCCCCCCTACCTGGAAATGCAAAATCACGTACAGTATTTAAACGTGGTTTTGCACAGCTTGGCCGCCCTGTAGCAGTATATCTGCTATAGGGTGGTCCTCAAATAGTTAAAGCGATTCTAAAAGGTTAAATTTTTTTAAAATAACAAACATGTCTATACTTACTTATGTGCAGTGGTTTTGCATCGAGCAGCCTGGATCCTCCCCTTCTTGGGTCCCCCGCAGGCTCTAATGGCCCCTCGCACCTGTCAGGTGCCCCCACAGCAAGCAGCTTGCTATGGGGGCACCCCCTGTTCCGTGTGTCCATTCACACAGGGAGCTGTTGCTTGGCCCCACCCCCTCTCCTCATTGGTTGACTAGCTGTGATTGACAGCAGTGGGAGCCAGTGGCTCCTGCTTGCTGTCTCAGCCAATGAGGAAGCAGAGACCCAGGACAACCGAGGCTGTTGCTCAAATTGCTGGATCGCGATGAGGCTCAGGAAAGTATTGAGGGCTGGGGGCACTGCTGCACACAGAAGGTTTTTTTACCTTCATGCATAGAATGCATGAAGGTAAAAAACCTTCAGCTTTTACAACCACTTTAATCTTTTTAATAAACATTGACGAGTTACTCTGATACTGCACCATGAGATCCTTTTTGGTTTATATTTTGCATTGATCTGATTGGAGTCCTTTTCTCAAGCCATACTAATAGTGCACCTTATATAGAACTATACCTTGTCTGAAGCGTTTTTTCTGCCTCAGCGGCTTGTTTAAGAGCAACTTCTTCAGTTACATTTATGTAGGCATTAAGAAATCTGGTTTCCTTGATGGACGACAGACACTTCTGGCACAGTTCTACAGGGCTTAGTTGTCCACGCCTCAAGGCAGCAGCTGCCTGTGAATAAGTAAAAACAAGAATTAAATAATCTACAAAAACACAAAGAACAACACATACAAGTTATGTAAATAACAACAAACACAATCAGTGCCACTAATGATTCCAAGCAGTAGTGGTGCCAGTGGAGAGGTCTGCAGACTCCTAATTTGCAATGGGACTTTCCTCAGGAACGGTTAGGCTCTGTGATGTAGGACATAACAGTGGCATACGGGTCTGAGAATGAAACCAAAGTGAGTAGCAGAGGATATGGGATTCCAACAGTCCTGGAAATGTTCAATGCTGTAGGATCTGACTGAGGCTACAGCACTTGAACAGAATAAAGGTCGCATGAAAAAGGACATGGGCTATTGGAGAGGTCAATATAATACCTTTTCTTTTGCAGGAAACTGACAAGATTGTATTTAGGCGATAATGATACTATTGCTCTGAAGGCCTCCTGTCATGAGAAAACGATGGAAGCTGCCATTACTTCAGAAAATACTACCTCTCAAAGTTTTTTTTAAGCCAGGTGGTCAGAATAACAGCCAAGCAACTTTCATTTTCTAAAGCAGGTTAGCACTGGCAGTTCCATCTTTTTTTCAAAGACTTATGAGAACTGTGTGCCACCATACTGGGTCCAATACACATGTCCAAATGTTTTGTATTTGTGTAAAAAAATCTTACAACACAAAAAAAGTCTGGGGCCAGAATGAGGCTGAACTGGGCAGTGCTGTCAGGAGATGACAGCAGTTCCAGCTTGACAGCTCAGAATGCAAGCTTTCATGACTAGTACCTTCACTCTGATTACAGGACAGGTGTCTCCAAGGTTGAAGTACTAATGTTCAGGCTGCAAACTCAGCCACCATGTCACTCTCACCATTCTGGGTGAGTTTTTAGCAGTTTAGCCCCACGTGTGCCTCACTGTAATCAACAGCTGTTTCCACTGCTGCATGCTCTCTTCTCTGCCAGTTTTTCTGGAAGTGATAGTTGTATGATGCTGGTAGTTGATTTTCCTGGTACATGCCCTGATCAAGTCACTATTTTGTAGAGCAATTTATTTTTATTTTCTTGAATACCATTTGTCCAGGGCAGTTTTGAAAATGTTCACATACATGTTAAAATCAGCATTTTTTTCTATAAAAATTACTTGGAACCCCAAAACATTACATATTTTCTGAAAGCAAAGACCCTGGTGAATAAAATGATGGCCGTTGCAATTTTTTTATGTCACATGATAGTTGCACAGCCATTAATCAAATGCAAAATTTCAGGAAAACCATACCTAAATGAACTTTAGTGCACACACACAATATAACATCCAATATACCAAACATATTAATATTTAAAATTGTGCACACCTGGGAAATGGTGGCAAAGGAAGGTACCTTAAACTGTCCATAGGTGGTGTTTTAAAAGTCTGTACAGGTTATCAGTTTATAGTTAATTGTGAATTATAGCCTTCTAAATCTTGCTCTCACTCCAACATTTGCAGTGACTAACACCGTTTACATATACATGTCGTAGTTAACACTTGTTCACACCAATGTGATTTGTCATGCGATTTGACAGTTCAAAATCGCATGATAAAGTGCACCTTATTTGTGCCTATGGAATCATTCAAATTAACCATTCAAATTGGTGCGACTCTGATTTTCGCCAATTTTGAAAATCGTTCCTGCACTATTTTCGGCGATTTCATGTGTGACTTGTATTGACATCTGTGCATAAAGACGCACAGATGTTGGCAAGTCGCACATGAAATTGCACTGGCCTGCGGCGTTGAAATCGCACTACTTTAGCTGAAGTAGTGTGGATTCAAAGCTGCATTTGGTGTCAAGCAGGGCTTAAACACATATTTGCATTTGTGTGTGTGCACAGGGGAATGGGTAGCCTTTATTTTTTTTATATATATTACTTTTATTTTTTCAACTCGTTCTATTTGTTTTTTCATTTAATGTCATTGCTATCAAAAGGCGGTGAACAAGTCTCCTTTTGATAGCTTTGTGCAGGTGACAGGTACTGTTTATGGAAACATCAGGGGTCTATTAGATTGTAAAAAACAGAGGGCGCACAGGCCTAGTGCATTACCATAAAAAATGTTTAATAAAAAATAAAGTATGTGTTGTGTTGTACTCAGAGCTCTGAGGAAGTGGCAAGTCCTCGAAACGCGTCAGCCTTTTGGATGTCTATACTCCCTATTGTGGACTGTTACTCAGCGTGGTGTTGACCCAGCTGTTCTTTATGATGTGCCTTGACTTTATTGTCGTTTGTGAGTACAACATATACTTTATTTTTTATTAAACATTTTTTATGGTAATGCACTAGGCCTGTGCGCCCTCTGTTTTTTTTTCTTTTCTCATTCAGTATATTTGGATTTCCCCGGTCCATTTGAGGGCAGCAAGGTGTGCATGTTCCAGGACATTCTTAATGTGGTGTAGCCTGCATCGAGTCCATCCCCAAGCGCAGGAGCATTTGTGTTTGCTGGTTCTTTGGTCTATTAGATTGTGTTTGAACATCTACTTTCCTTGCTGCAACAGCCAGATAACAGCTTTGAATACAGAAGTGATAAAATCCTTATTGCTTTTTGCCTCATTCCTCACAGAGGAGATGGGGGAACAGATGTTACTCCATCTCCTTTGCAGGAAGCTGCTCCAACTGCTTGCCACAGTCCTGGACTTCCCAGAGGAAAAGGAGAGACCAGGAACCACCATGGCTGGGAGAGGGAGGGGTCCTTCCCAACATTGTTAAAAGTTTTCAGCCGGCTCTAAAGCCGCCCGGATCACTTCACATAACAGCCAATTGCCGTCTGAAAAAAATTATTTTCTATTGAAAACACTTGTTCTGCTAACTGTCCTAAACAATTCATCTTCTTTAAGAGCTTGTTTACATCAGCCTGCACACTAAAATGAGTGTGCCCTGGTGTCTGTTGTGTAGTGGCAGCGAGGAATGGTGCTATACTTTGTTGCAACACATTGCACTGTTTAGCTTTTTCTTCAATGTTACTGAAGTGACACAAAATTACACTTTAGGCCTCTTGCTCACTGGACGGTTTTAACATTCCTCCTTTAGGGGCGTCTGACATTTTTTTTCCTGCCTTTAAACGCCCCTGCACGTTAGCCTGTGTTTATGCACACATGGCCGTTTAGATGCAGGAACAAAATGCACTGCCAGTGCGTCCAGAAGCAGTGGCATTTTAGTGAAAAAAAAAAAAAACCCTTGATGCATGTAAATGCACGTTTATCACTTGTGTGATAATTCATTTCATTCATAAATTATTAGTCTGGCCAATTGAATTAACACTCAAGCACTTGACACCTGTAAGTACATTAAATGTGTTTACAAACATCAAGTATTTTTTTCTGCCAAAACACTGCTGCCAGCAGCCAAGGCATCTAGGAGAGATAGCGAAAATGTCCAGTGTGCATGAGGCCTTATTCATCTTCATACACTGCAGAACATTGCATTATAGTGACATGGTGTGCATCCCACCGCACTTGTTTTGTGTGAATGAGCTCCTAGAGATCACATTTAACTTTGATTCTACAGAAAGGAAGTGAAGGGAATTCTCCTCAATGGGACACAGGATGCAAACAACCATGCCCTACTACATCTAAAATTGTTAATTCTTTGAGTTTAAATATACTTTAATCAGTTCCATGCCGCCCTATAGAAGAAATACTGATACAGGGAGGCACTGGTGCGCAAAATCACGTATATATACGTGATGTCGCATTTCCGGGTAGGGGGCGCTTGTGCTACCCATTCCCCTGTGCACACACACAAATGCACACCGCCATTCGCGGCCTCGGCTGTCAATCACTGGATCCTGACCAGTGATTACTCACTGGCACCTGGTGATTGCCGAGTATCTCCAATGGGGGAGAGATATGTGTATAAAACACAGATCACTGCGCTGTCAGCTCCTGCACACTGCTTTGTATGGCTCTGCATAGCACTGTAAAGCACACAACACCGCACACTTAGTAAATCACACACACACACAGTTAACTCTTTCATCGCCCCAGATGTTAACCTCTCCCTGCCCAGTGCCATTAGTACAGTGTCAGTGCTTTTTTTTAGCACTGATCCCTGTATTGGTGTCTCTGGGGATGTCAGTGACACCAAGTCAGTTCCCCCCAGTGTCAGAATGCCCGCCGCAGTCCCGCTATAAGTCGCTGATCGCCGTTACTAGTAAAAAACAATAATTAAAGTATCTATACTGCCATTTGTAAACGCTATAACTTTCACGTACACCAATTTAATTTACACGTATTGGGAATTTTTTTTTAGCAAAGACATGTAGCAGAATACATTTTGGCCTAAATTTATGACTAAATTTTATTTTTAAAATTTAGTTTACTGGACATGTTTAATAGCAAAAAGTCAAAAATACTGTTTTTTTTTCTCTCAAAATTGCAAAAAATAAAAACCGCACAGGCGACCAAATACCACCGAAAGAAGGCTCCATTTGCGGGGACGTAAATTTTGTTTGGGTGCAACGTTGCATGACTGCGCAATTGTCAAAGTAAGGGAGGTAAATCCTCAGGAGGGCAAGTGGTTAATAACTGTAAGTTTCAAATGTGAAATGTAGAACACTTTCCTGTTGCTAATTCAAAGGTGAGCTGACTTACATGTCCTCAGGTCTAATAACTCCTGCAGGCTGTGACATCGTCACCCCAAGCCCCCATTTCACTCGATTCATCCATTCTGCTACCCAAACTAAACAAAACATCTCCGTATTAATCACTCACCTCACGTAAACTTATCCCAAGCATTATTATACTAAATAGACAACCACATAATGCGTACGGAAGCCGACATGTGTTGGTTGGCAAACAGACGCCTTACAATGCCAAAAGAGCTGATTGGTCAATATACTAGTATGCCGCGACATATATGGATAGAAGCACAACGAGGCTCGGAACGCGGAAGTGACTAGAGGGCACTGAGGAGACAAGACGATGAGAAGAAGAGAAACACGGACACATGTATCATTGAGGATAGAACGGGGGAACTAATGTTACAGTGTATAGACTTGGATATTGTAATGTGGCAGTTCTTTTCTTGGAGCTCGTGTTTTATGTGAGAAACTAGACAAAGGCCTCAGTGTATTCACCTACAACTGGTGACACCAATGGGCATATTATTCACAAAGTAATTACTTCATAGAAACTGAATTTTGCCAGTTGAATATTTGGAAGTAATAGCACAATTTCCAGATTGCACTAAAAATGCTGAGTGTGGCATGTAGTAGATGTTTGTGGAGGACTGTTGGTTTACATAAGAGACCAGTTCTAATAGCAAAACCTGGGAAGGACAGAGGACTCCATGTGTCATCCGTAAGAAACACCATCATGCCAGCCTGGGTGATTGACAAGTACGGGACGAATGATGTCCTGCGCTTCAATGAAAATACCCTCTTCCCTGTCATCCATTACCCCAATGAAGTCATCATCCAGGTCCATGCTGCAAGTGTGAACCCCATTGATGTCCATATGAGAAGTGAGTATGAGTTACTATCTGTGCGACTTCAGTCCTAGTTTACGCTGATCAGTGCTAGCCACAGAACATTGAGGATGTGCAGGAAGCTGGACCGAACTGCCTCGGATGGTTTGCTTATTGGGCACAGTCATGGAAAGCATGCTGTTCATTGGTTACTTCCATATAGAAAAACAGAATGAGAACACACAGTGAGGATTATTTATCAAAGCTGTGACCTATTTCACCAGGTACATAATTCTCACAGTGCAATACAATCTGATTGTCCAGTTGAAACAATGGGATTTGAGCAGCCTCCTAAACAACGCTTGTAAGACTCCAAAGTTGCACGACTTGGGAGTTTAACTTTGGATAGAGGTGACTTGGATGTGATCTGCTCCTCTACAAAGTCATACCCACTGTTACACCACTGATGCATGTAAAACATGCAACTTTTGAGGGTTAACATTGAAGTCTATGGCCCTCAAGTTGCATGAAAGTTGGACCAAAGTAGTGCATTATTATTATACAGGATTTATAAAGCGTAGTTTGCGCAGCACTTTACAGAATGAAGGTAGACAACACAGTTACAATACAAGTTGGTACAAGAGGAAACAGAGGGCGCTGCTCGTCAGAGCTTACAATCTAAGAGGAAGGGTTGAGTGATACAAAAGGTAATAGCTGTGGGGGGATGAGCTGTTGGAGGAAATAGAAGCAGGATAGGCTTCTTTAACCTCTTCCTGACGGCCCTATAGTGGAAATACTGCTATAGGGCAGCACGGGTGCCCAAAATCACGTGTGTGTATATATACATGATTTTGCATTACCGGGTAGGGGGTGTGTGCTCCCTACCCGCGCCACCATTCGCGGCCACGGCTGTCAATCACCGGGTCCCAGTCGGTGATTACTCGCCGGCACCCAGTGATTACCGAGGATCTCCGATGGGGAGGAGAACTTTTTTTGTTTGCAAACAGTTCTCCTCCCTGTCAGCTTGGGCACACTGCTTTGGATGGCTGTGCTCAGCACAGCCATCCAAAGCAGTGTGGTTGCAGTGAAACACACACTGCCCCATAGTAAAACACACCCAGCAGACAGTTAACCCTTTGATTGCCCCTCATGTTAATCCCTTCCTGCCCAGTGCCATTAGTACAGTGTCAGTGCTTTTTTTTTTTTTTTTTTTTTTTTTAAGCACTGATCACTGTAGTCGTGTCACTGGGGATGTCAGTGACACCAAGTCAGTTCCCCCCAGTGTCAGAATGTCCGCCACAGTTCTGCTATAAGTCTCTGGTCACCGCCATTACTAGTAAAAAAAAAAACCCCAAAATCCCAGTATATTTACTGCCATTTGTAAACGCTATAACTTTCACGAAAACCAATTAATTTACATGTATTGGGATTTTTTTGTAGCAAAGACATGTAGCAGAATACATTTTGGGCTAAATTTATAACGAAATTTGATTTTTTTATTACAAATTTTATTTACTGGACATGCTTAATAGCAAAAAGTCAAATATACTGTTTTTTCTTTTTTTTTTCTCAAAATTGACAGTCCTTTTTTTTTTTTTTTTTTTTTTTTTTTTGTATAGCGCAAAAAATAAAAAAAGGAAAGGCAATCAAATGCCACTGAAAGAAAGCTCAATTCATGGGGAAAAAAGATGTACATTTTGTTTGGGTGCAGCGTTGCATGACCGCGCAATTGTCAGTTAAATTAACGCAGTGCCATAACGCAAAAAATGGCCTGGTCAGGAAGGGGGGTAAATCCTCAGGAGGGCAAATGGTTAAAGAGAAGGGTTTTCAGGGATCGTCTAAAGGTGGATAGCTTAGGAGCTAGTCGGACAGATTGGCGTAGGAGCTCCATAAGATGGAAGAAGCTCTGGAGAAGTCTTGGAGGTGACACGGGTGCTAGAGAGCAGAAGGTCTTGGGTGGATTGAAAAGCGCGGTTTGGTTGGTATTTTGAGACTAGGTTGATGTAGCTGGGGGCAGAGTTGTGGATGGCTTTGTAAGTTGTTGTTTAGTATTTTGAATTCTATTTGTTGGGCAAGTGGAAGCCAGTGGAGAGATTGTTACAAAAAACCTCCTGCGCTCACAAGGACTCCTACCCTATAACCATAAGCTGCTGACACTAAGCTTATACCCAAAATAAGTGAATAAACAGTGCAAAAATTATGAGTGCAGCGCTAATTAGTATCTAATAGAACCGTAATACAATATATACTCAATCCCCAAAATAAATCCAAGATACTCAATAGATATACAGTGTCATGCATGTATTCCCTCATGGGGAATATCTCGTGCAAAAACGTGAAAATAAAGTAATATATACTATAATAACATATATACTAATAATAAACAGTGCCACACAACAAGTGCACAAAAGAATAAACGATAGTTCAAATACGAGAAAAGTCCAAAGTTAATAATAATACTGATGATGCTGTGCTTAACGTTACCCTGATGAAGTCACGAAGTGGGCGTGACGCAACTAGTCGGTACGTGGGGAGGAGCTTCCGGTAATCGCGGTGACGTCATTTCCGGCGTGGGGGCCATATTGGAACACCCTGTGTATTACCCATGCAGTACACCCATAGCATGTGGTAGGAGGCTGGAAGATTCATCGTTTTGTGAGTGGAAATCTACTTTTTATACCTATTACCAATAAAATTACTGGTTGCACTATGGAGGGTCTCTGCTTGTGTCTTACTATGACCCTGGGAGGAGCTGGCTGCTAAACTGGTGGACGCTGGAGGAGGAAGATACTTTCTAGAGAGTGATCCATACTGATAGGATCGTGTGATCCTGAAAGCATGCTGGCCCCTTGGGGTCTAAGGAAGGAGGTGAGGGGGCATTTTGGCTGTTAAGGATTGTCACGTGTGAATCACGTACACTGCACATAGTTTTGCATGAAGAGTGGAGTGTGAAGTTTATCATTAAGCACAGCATCATCAGTATTATTATTATTAACTTTGGACTTTTCTCGTATTTGAACTATCGTTCATTCCTTTGTGCACTTTTTGTGTGGCACTGTTTATTATTAGTATATATGTTATTATAGTATATATTACTTTATTTTCACGTTTTTGCACGAGATATTCCCCATGAGGGAATACATGCATGACACTGTATATGTATTGAGTATCTTGGATTTATTTTGGGGATTGAGTATATATTGTATTACGGTTCTATTAGATACTAATTAGCGCTGCACTCATAATTTTTGCAGTGGAGAGATTGTCAGAGAGGGGTAGCAGACACTGAACAGTTGGTAAGGTGGATGGTAGCAGTATTCATGATGGACTGAAGGGGGGATATCCTATGTAAAGGTAAGCCAATGAGGAGGGAGTTGCAGTAGTCAAGGCGAGAGATAACCAGGGAGTGAATTAGGAGCTTTGTGGTATCATTAGTTAAAAAGGGGCGTATTCTGCAGATGTTTCGGAGGTTAGTGCATGAACTACTTTGAAGCTGCTGCAACTTTAAGTCGCACATATGTAAATGGTTATCATTGGAAAACATGGGGTACAACTTATCATTGGACTTTGATGTCCAAAGTCCAATGACATGTCGCACAAGTGTGAATGGGGTTCTTAATCTAGTCAGCCAGACATTTGCACTATATTGTAGTTGGTGGGTCTAAGGCAGAGTTTCTGCACTAGGGTTCCTCTAGAGTTTGCTAGGGGTTTCTTTAGCAATGAGAAGTTTCTTCCTCTCGGGTAAGTTCCCACTGACACCACTTATCTTTTTAGCTATCTGTAAGGGGGTAATTCTTCCCAATGATCGCAAGTGTAAGGAACATTCTTCCCACTGACCATCACACTAATATGGATACAGTAGTTTTTAGCAGGGGTTTCCTGAGAATGGAAAGTTATTTCAACGGTTCCTCTGTGTTTGAGGTGGTTGAGAAAGACTAGCCTAATGGCTCATTGAGATGGCCATTCATGACCATACATGGCCCAGATCAGTGTATTTCAGCAATGGGTACAGCCAGGTGTTAGAGTCTGTAGATGATCACAAAGTACAAAGCAATAACAGGCCATCTACTGTATGTATAAACACACATGGAGTGATTACCTGCAGTTGGGAATAGAAGAGTGGACCTGGATTCAAAGTGTTTGCAGATAAAGCCACTCATCTGCCTCGTGTCACAGACAGTAGCCTGCCATTAATGTGTATGGATTTCCTATCTGCAGCTGAGCTTAAACACCTGGCCATACCTCATGTAACAATATGATGATCTGGCCAGTGAACAGCCACGTGAATTAAGCATCCCAGTGATGAGTCTGTGGTGTTTTTTTTTGTTCAGCTTTAAAACTATGCACCTGTGAAATTGCAAAATACTATGGTCACTCTGATGTTCGCAGTGATACTGCCACATATGTTGCTGTTTACATACAGGTAGGTGCCCTATGCTGTGTTTATGGTGGTACTTTTAATTTTTTTTTTCCTATAGGACCCCCAGTGTCTCCCAAGCCCTCCATTGCTACAGTAGCCAGAGAGTGACAGCCATGAACCCAGAAGTGATGTAATACATCTCCTAGATTGTAAGCTCGAAAGAGCAGGGCCCTCAATCCCCTCATGTTTTGCATTGTATTGGTATTGTTCTGTCACATGTTCTGTCCCCCTTTGTAATGTACAGCGCTTAGCGAACCATTGGCGCTTTATAAATACTGTATAATAATAATACATGTCGCTTCCAGGAGGGATCCATGAATAGATGTTCCCCGATCACATCCTAGACCCCCGATCACATCCTACTCTAAACAACACAGGCATTTACCGTGGCCCTGTTTCCCAAGAAGAATCGGAAAGCCTGGGAGCCATGATGGAAGCTGTTGGCAAGGAGGGAAAGGGGGGTAGGTGATGGGGTACACCTTTCAGAGCTCGTAAAAGTGATCAGAGACACCCAGATTACTTTTCCTGAAATCCTGTCTCTTGCCCTAAAAATTAATAGCATGCATGCTGCAGCTATGATCTTGCTTACCCCTCGAATACCAGGACAGTTCTAAATATACCTTGGCAGACAAGGGGGTTAATGAAGTGTATCTAAATTAAAACTTTTTTTTTTCTTTAACTCCATTTTAATTCCACAGAAATTTAAAACACAATTTACTCCTGTTATTTAGTTCTTCAGTCAATTAATGTATTGCCTGTTTGGGTGACAGCTGTGTAAGAGAGGAATCCCCCTTTGGGGATATTTCCTTCACATTCCTGTGGAGTCTTTGGGATAGGAAGTGAAATCTCCCTAATCAGACCGAGACAACAAAAAAAGTCTATACAAACTAAAAAAAATGTCAATGCGTGTAGAATAAGTACCTGAATATACTTTCATATTCGCTTCTCATAAACCCTCACAACTGAACTCAGAATAAGGGAAAAATAGCCAACAGTAATGACCAGTAAGGCTCTATTGCTTCTCACATCTGTGTAACACTGGGAACATAGCATTGAGATGACCTCATTACTGAACTCCATCTCTTCCATGTCCATTCAGCAGGCCATGAGCAGGAAGATGAGTCTTGTTAACCATAAATATAACAGAATAATTGGTGTCACCCTCCTTAGGCAGCATGCAAAGATGTGTCTGTTACAGAAGTGTGTGAATAGAATTACAAATATTTTGTCTGGTAAAATAGCTCACATATAGTTGCCCAGCATTCAGCTTGTTAAAATGAAACTTGTGAATGTAGAAAGAAGAATATTGATCAGGACATCACTACACTGCATGTCATTCAGTGTAATAAAAATGGCATTATTTGTACAGGATCACTTGTACAGGAAACTACTGCTTGCAACTATTATTATACAGGATTTATATAGCGCCAACGGTTTGCTCAGCGCTTTACATTATAGTGGGAGACGATACAGTAACAATACAGTTTGATACAAGAGGGATTTGAGGGCCCTGCTCCATGGAGCTTACAATCTAGGAGGGCGGGGTGAATGGTACAGTAGGTGGTCACTGTGGGGGATGGAGTGGTTGGAAGAGTAGAGGATTCCAGAATTAGCAGAGGGTGGGATAGGCTTCCCTGAAGAGAGAGGTTTTTTGTGATCGCCGAAAGGCAAGTAGAGTAGGTGATAATCTGATGGATTGGGGTAGGGAGTTCCAGAGGATGGGTGACGCCCTGGAGAAGTCTTGGAGACGAGCATGGGAGATGAGGGAGCTAGAGAGTAAGAAGTCTTGGAAGGAGCAGAGTGTACGGTTTGAGTGTCATTTAGAGATCAGATCGGTTATGTAGGTTGGGGCAGTGTTGTGGATGGCTTTATATGTCATTGTTAGAGTTTTGAATTTTATCCGTTGGGCAACTGGGAGCCAGTGGAGGGATTGGCAGAGAGGGGTGGCAGATACGGAATGGTTAGTGAGGTGGATGAGTCTGGCAGCAGCGTTCATGATAGACTGGAGGGGGGATAGTCTACGATGAGGTAGGCCAATGAGGATGGAGTTACAGTAGTCGAGGCGAGATATAACAAGGGAGTGAATGAGTTGCTTAGTGGTTTCAGGGTTAGGAATGGTCGTATTTTGGAGATGTTGTGGAGGTGAAGTCTACATGAGCTTGTCAGCGATTGGATCTGGGGCTGGAAGGACAGATGGGAGTCTAGGATTACAACTATTCATCTTATCTCCTATATAATATTGTTCCCTGCTCTGGTAACATGACAGAGAATCTTATTGGTGGCTAGGGATATCCCAGACATTTTGCTAATGATTGAGGCTTACGATTTGACCTAGTTGTTTGAAGTAAGTATATGGAGGTCCATAGCCCACACAATCTATTTTTTGTGCTCAAAATTGTTATATTAAGGCCCAAAGGGGTTGATTTACTAAAGGTAAACATACTGTGTACTGCAAGTGCAGTTGCTTTATATCTGAGGGGAAGCTCTGAAATGAGGTGAAGTTCTGATTTCTTTCATCCAATCATGTGCAATCACAACAGTTTTTTTTTTTTTTTATTTTCCTTGTATGTTCCTGTCAGATCTAGAGCAACTACACATTTGGTGCACTTGCAGTACACAATCTATTTGCCTTTAGTAAATCAACCCCCAAAGTCTTGGTATATAGTTTGGGACTCCAGTTATACATTTTCCAGTGTTCTATGAAAAAAAAAAAAGATATACTGTATTTCCTAGTAATCCCAATATGTTGTAATTTTATATTGCTGTCATTCTATTTAGCCAATCTTCTGATTCAGACACCCTTGCCAGACAGCACAGCCAGATTCTATACATCTGAAGTACAGCTTGGTCAAGAACACATCCCCATTCTGCTGACTGGACAATAAAGCAGCAACTCTATTATAAGGTTATCTGTTCACTCTGCTCTCTTCCACTGTCAGCATGCTCTCTGTTTGCAAGTATGCTTGCAGCAGAGCCTGATTGGCTCCTGGGACTAGTTTCCCTTTCTTAGTCTGACTATGCTGTAAAAATGGATTGATTACTGAAGACTAGAATCAAGACTGATTAAGCTGTTTTCCCTATTTGCATTTAAACTACATTTAATTATGCTTAATAAACGCATTACTTGGTTGGTTTTCATATCTACCTGGCATTCGGTATTAAAGTGACCATGGCTATTATTCTTTCAATGCCATCTATAACAGTACTTTTTCCTAGAGGCTTTTGTTAGGCTTTTATTGTTCCTCCTCTCATATCACAACTCCCTAGCAATCCCTAGATCAGGGAGGTGTAGCTAAGGTTGTGAAAGACCTGGGGCACCCCCAAGGAAAGCAATGATGCATAGTGTGGTGAATAGGGGGTATGGCCTAGTTTCACTAACAGTGGGAGGTGCTATATACAAGATATGTGTATACCACAGCCCTTCAGTACCATTCCACAAGCTAGAGTCTCACAGACATCACTCTAAACTTACCACATGGGAACCTGAAAAGCTGCTACCCAATATCAGGATGCTCAGATTCTGTGCCACCCTTACATTGACTGTCATTGTCTCTAACCCCTTACATTGGTGGTCATTGTCTGTAACACCTTATATTGGTGGTTAAGTGTGCCCTCCTTACATTGGTGGTTGGTGTATGTTCCCTTCCATTGGTTGTCTGTGCTTGTGCCTGTCTTTCATTAGAGGTCACTGTCTGTGCCTCTCTTACATTGGTGTTCAGTGTCTGTGCCTCTTTCGCATTGGTGGTCAGTGTCTGTGTCCCCCTTACATTGGTGTGGTCAGTGTCTATGAGTCTCACACACTGGAGGGACATCCTGAAAAATTGGCTTTTACTTCAAAAGCTAGATCTGCAGTGTTCTTGTACAGAAAGAGTGCCCAGATACAATTATTTTAAACTTTTAAAAACAATGTTACTAGTTAATATGGAATAAAAGTGTTTTGTTTCATTGTGCTTACCTTTTTTTTCTCTTTTCACAATGGAAACAAAATGTTGATTTAGGATTACATCAAAAGAGAAGTTCAGGAATGAAAAAAAGAAACATTTATACTCACCTAGGTGGATGCAGCATCAGTCCACTACCGCTGCAAAGATCGAGAAGTCAAAACTTCTGAACGCTCAGTTCTCAGTCTTCGGTGAGCAGAGAGCCGGAGTGCTGGGCTGTGCAGAGGGCGGGAGCTGAGTCACTGAGAGGTTGAACTAGCTGCTGGTCCAGGCATCAGGGTGGATCCTGACTTTAAAGTTGGGATCTCTCCTGAGCCTCGACCGGCTCAGTGATGCCAGCTGACCATGTACTTTAGCCCACTGTTGGTTGAAAACCGGTCACAGGAGTACAGAACGAACTGCATTTCTGTCATCCATTGGAGAAGTGGGGCCAAAAGAGCTTTGGCTCTACTTCTCTTAACAAAAGGTAGTCTTGCACTCAAAAACAATATATGCATTATTTTGGTATTGTAAGTAGTGAAAAAATGAATGCCAAACCAGTAGGCCTCTAGCTGAAATGTAAAAATTGTTTTGGTCACTATGAGACAAACAGATGTGATTTGCTGAAATTGTTAAATGAGTAACCATGCAGCCAGTATAGCAAAAAGCTTTGCTGATCACATGATGTAGAGAAAATCTGTGATATAGACAGTGTGATCAGTGAAATCAGTAAATGCTGATGTCGATGCATAGGGGGCAGTGGCTAAATGGTTTGCACTTCCGCCTGGCAGCACTAGGGTTATTGGTTTGAATCCCAGGCACGGCACCTGGTTTGCATGTTCTCCCTGTGCCTGCATGGGTTTCTCTGGGTACTCCGGTTTCCTCCCACACTCCAAAGACATGCTGGTAGGCTAATTGGCTCCTGTCTAAATTGGCTCTAGTATGTGTATGTATGAATGTGAGTTAGGGTGCTTAGATTGTACACCCCTTGAGGGTTATTGACTAATGTGAATGTATAATATATATATGTAAAGCACTGCGTAAATTGACAGCGCTATAGAAGTACCTGAAATAAATAAAAATAAATAAATAAAATAATGCGTAACCAAATATGCATACTTTGCAGATGGTTATGGAGCTGCCAGCCTGAATATGACTCGTGATCCTCTGAAAATGAAGATACCAGGAAGTGAGTTCCCTATAATTCTAGGAAGAGATGTTTCCGGAGTTGTGATGGAGTGTGGACTTTCAGTAAAATACTTTAAACCTGGAGATAAGGCAAGTTTTTTTGAAAATTAAAAGCTTTGCTAGATTGGTGGTTCTTCCGAAGTACCAATGTATGGTCAAAAATTGTCTTTACTCACCCTCAACTCAATGCATGTTTTTACAATATTTTTTTTTTTTTTTTTTTTTAAACAAATGAAAGCATTTTTCTGTATATGTCACTTGGTCCCCCTAGAGCACCACAGTGTAGCAAGTCACATTTATTTTGTTCAAAGACCATGCTCAGTCATAGTAGAGCAATGGACATTCTCAGTATGTACAAAGCATAGCCCATGACCTGCTTGAGAATTAAGTGGTCTGGGCACTTTTACCAAAGACTTTTCAATTAGTATTTAAAGCTTGCTTTTTGTTGCCATTGCCTACAAACTTACTACATTAAATAACCCAGATTTTAAATGTGATATAATGGAACCTTTATAATTTCTTACTGTTAAAAGTACTGTTGGAAAACAAATTTTCCCTTCGATACAGTCCCTTTTTTTTCTGCTAAAAACTCCATAAAACTATTGTGAAAAAAAAAGTTTTCCAGCATCTATAATGATATGGACAAATAGATCCCCTGTCCAATACTTGACTTTTAGATCTGTGTGTGAATTGTGTCACAAGTTAGCATTCACTGTTTGAAAACGACATTTTAGCTTTCAATATGAGGAATCCCTACTTTTTGTAATGTGCAGTACACGGGCGGACTGAGAACTCATGAGGCCCCTGGGCAATAGGGGATCATGGGGCCCCTGTGTCCTTGGCCAAACTCAAAAAAGCCTATGAAAAAGGTACCAGGGGCATCTCATGGTGCCCCCTACTGACCCCAGGCCCTCGGGCAGTGCCCGAGTTTCCAAATGGTCAGTACGCCCCTGGTACAGTACATCTTGTACACTTTGGGTACATTCTACTTCCCCTTGTAATATTTCCTACAACAGGATATCACATAGGCAATTATAACTGAATATGTAAGGCACTAAAACCATCTAAAACAGACTAATCATTATTTTTGAAGTGGGGTAGGGTTTAAATCCTGGATTGCTGCTTTTTGAAATAAACCATTCTGCTAAAAAAAAATCAGTACTTGTCTGTACTCAATTTAAGGACAGATGGGAGAGATGCTGTATTGCCTTCATGATTACTTTGTCTGGCAGATGCAGAATTTAACAGAATGAAAGTGAGAATGAGTTGCTATATTTCAGATCTAATCCGCTATAATATCACAATGAGAAGGGGTGACCTCACAAAGGTCTGGTGTTATTCAATTCCACATACATGTGACTGATAAGGGTATGTGGACTCAGGTTTTTCTTCTTGCTCTGCATTGAACATGTGTCAATTTACTAATTTAGTTCTATACTCCGTGTGAGTCTTTTAAGACCCTGATGCAAATATTTGCATATTCACATACATCATAGTCCCTGCTTGACTTTATACCAGGTGGATGTTTCATTTGGCCCTGTTTTATCCTTCATATAATCGTATGTAAGATCCCACTACTCCTGTCATCCTTATCCTGCTGAATTCTTTACAGGAATTTCATCACATTTCCTGACAAGACTGACTAGAATGGAAAAAAAATATAAACTTTGCATACTTGTACCATTTCGGTACAGTTGTATATCCAAGTGATTATTTGTTTTAATTTGTTTTGACAGGTCTGGGCAGCAGTCCCTCCATGGAAGCAGGGCACCTTTGCAGAATTTGTTGTTGCAAGTGCCAATGAGGTAAATATATCAAATAAAATGTAATTGTAGAAGGTTTCAACATTAGATTGTATCCATACTTGCAAAATGTGTATCTCTGTATAGCAACAAATAGAAACCTTTTTATTAAAAAAAAAAAAGAAATTTTTTTATCCAAACATGGAACATGGAATCTGGTCTTTATGGGGAACAACTTATGTTTTTCAAGATTTTATAAATGGGTCTGTCTATAGTATTTTCCGGTCAGAAACTTAGAGATGTTGTTTAGTATGCAGTTTATATACAGTGGATATACACTCTTGAGGTGTACATGTTTGTAAATGTAATATCTACCTTAAGTTCTAATGTTCTTGAATAATTTTAGAGTCTCCTATTTTAATAGGGTGGATGTAGTAAAAGATGAGTTAACCTTCAAAAATAAAAGTTAGTGCTTTTTTTTTTTTTTTCCAGTTTACTGTTTTAGCTTTGTGAACTAGCATATAGGAATTTAGCATACATTTTTGTTGAGTTTGATTTATGTTTAGGTATCCTTGATGCCAAAGTCACTTAGTCATACAGAAGCTGCTTCCTTACCTTATGTTGCCCTCACGGCATGGGCTGGCCTTGTTAACAGCTGCGGTTTGAAAAAGGAAACCTGTCCAGGAAAACGGTGAGTGTTCATCAACTTTTCCTGACATAAAAGCCGTTAATGCATCAATTTTCTCTTGCTTGTTTTTATCCAGTGGTCAAACTGTTTAATGAAATTTTTCTTTTGTCTGTATGTATGTAGGTGAATAACACAGAAGACTTTGCTAGTATCAAAGATAAAGTAATAGAAATTCTAAAATCGTAATAGAAAAATTATTTCTGTACAGCACTGATAATTTATTATTGGGTGAGATTTGATGCAACACTTGTTTGTTTAACCACCTGATCTCTGGAAGATTCCCCCCCCCCCCCCCCCCTTCAGGACCAAGCCATTTTTTTGCGATACAGTGCTGCTTTACTTTAACTGGCAACTGTGGGGTCATGCAATGCTGTACATAAATTTATGTAATTCTTTTCCCACAAATAAAGCTTCCTTTTTAGTGGTATTTGATCACCTCAGCGATTTTTTTTTTTTTTTTTACGCTCTAAATGGAAAAAAAATCAACATTTTAAAAACAAAGAAAAAACAAACCATATTTTTTACTTTCTGCTATAAAACATATCTAATAAAATGTTTAAAAAAAATCTAATTTTTTCATAAATTTATGCAGGCCATAGACGGGAAGAAAAACGGCATATTTTTCTTTTAAAAAACGAAAAATCGGTCGTTCAAGCGGCCGACGTTACCATCAATGGTAAAAGAAATCGGCCGATTTTCATCCCGTCTACAGCCGGCAAAAAGTGTCCCTGCAGAGAGCTCCGCTATTTCTTTGACAGTTCTTTGACAGTTCCTTGACATTTACAGCGGTTGCAACATTGTATCTATTTGTTTCCATTTAGGATACAGATGTTTTTATTCGGAAACAAATAGATACAATGTTGCAACCGCTGTAAATGTCAAAGAACTGTCAAAGAACTGTCAAACAAATAGCGGCGCTCTCTGCAGGGACACTTTGTGCTGGACTGGAATTCCTCTTATTTTTCATCCTACTTCTTCTTCTTCTTCTTCTTCTTCATCCTCATCTTCTTCATCATCCTCATCCTCTCATCATCTTTCATCCTCATCCTCTTTCATCATCATCTCATCCTCTTCTTCTTCTTCTTCATCATCATCCTCATCCTCATCTTCTTCTTCTTCTTCCTCATCCTCTTCTTCCTCCTCATCTCTTCTTCTTCTTCATCCTCCTCCTCCTCCTCCTCTTCTTCTTGTTCTTCTTCTTCTTCTTCTTCCTCCTCTTCCTCATCCTCTTCTTCCTCTTCTTCTTCTTCCTCATCCTCATCTTCTTCTTCTTCTTCTTCCTCATCCTCTTCTTCTTCTTCTTCTTCCTCATCCTCATCATCTTCTTCTTCATCCTCATCCTCCTCTTCTTCTTTTTCTTCTTTTTGTCTTCCTCTTGCAGGTCACTGCTCATGCGCAGATTTTTTATCGGTAAAAAATCGTCCGATTTGCCCATCATTGCTGCGAAAATCGGCCGATCGGCAAAATCGGCCGGTTTTTTTCCAACTTCACCGATAAAAAAAAACGGCCAAAATACCAAAAAACGGCCGAACAAATAGCCCAACACTAACGATCCGAAAATCGGCCGAAAAATCGGCCGATTTTCGACCCATCTATGGCCTGCATTAGGCCAAAATGTATTCTGCTACATATTTTTGGTAAAAACAAAAATCCCATTAAGCGTATAATGATAGGTTTGCACAAACGTTACAGCGTCTACAAATGGCAGTGTATATATACTGGAATTTATTTATTTTTTCCCAAGTTATCTTCCAGGACAGTTTCACATGAGAGATGGGCTCCTTTCACCAGGAAACACCTGATCCACTTTTTCCCTAGAAGTAGCCTCTTTCCAGGGATCCTCAGTATTAGTGTTTCCTCCGGGCAGGAACTACACCCATTTGTATTTTTTTTTTTTTCTTTCTAAGACCTCCTGGATGGGGCTACCCCTCCCTCTTCTCAGCAAGGCAGGGGCCTTGCGGGGTGGCCTCATTCAGGGTTCCCTAGGGATTGGGGGAGACAGCATCCCTCTTCTATGGTCCTGCGGGGCTCACCAGGGGCCCGAGGAACAGGAAGCAGACCGCAGCCATCTTGGTTATGGGTGGTGATCTGCAAGTTTTCCCCACATCACGGCCGCAGTGGATGGCTGTGAGGGAAGGTCGGCGCAACCGGACCCAAGGGGGGGGGCAGAACCCCCCCCACCCTACAAACAGAGCCATGCCGAGGGCGGGAATGCCGCCAAAATGGAAGTGGATCTGTCCGAGCTGTGGAGGCCAGCAGCAAGGTAGGAGCCTTTCGGCTGGCATGACCCCCTTCTCTGTACCCCTCATGCTTCCTCCTATCTGCTGTCTTAAGGAGGGGGGGGGGGCGAGGGGGTACGAGGCTCTCCTTCCCTCTCTCTCTCTTCTCTCCTCCCTCTTCCCTCTCTCTCCAGCACCACGGGGATCTTGGGTTCTGCCAGTTGGTAAACGCTTCGGGGGTGGGTGTCCCCCCCCCCCCAGGAGCACTCGACTTACAGGATGCCTATATCTTGTGTCTCCCTGTCCTTAGATGGGCCCACTGGAGGAGGATAGGAGGCAAAAGGAGGCTCTTTGTGAGATGAAGAGAAAGTGCGCTACGTGCAAAAATAAGCTCGCTAGCTCTTGGAAAAAGCAGCTGTGTCAGGAATGCATTGATAAGCTGATCAAAAAAAGAGTTGGGGGTCCCTCTTGAAAGATTTCTTACAAAACATGACTCAGGAGATGTTCAAAACTTTAGGGAACAGATGCAGGAACCGACCCCAGACGGGCCTCAACCCGGCACCTCAGGCATTTCCCCCACCGGTCAAAAAGAAAAAACAGGCCCCTGGCACTGTCGTGGACCGAGAAGAGGAACTTTCCGACTCTGAGGAAGGTGGGATGGAAGAACAGGATTACAGCTTGCAAAAGTTCCTTTTTGCAGTAGTCCATTCCACCCTATGGTCTACCATAAAAAGGGAATGGGAAGAGCCGGAAAGGAAAGCCTTTTTTCCTAAAAATCTTTAAAAGGCGATTTCCATTTAAGGAGGAAGATGCGTCTATGTGGGAGTCTTGCCCGAAACCGGATGCTCCCCTCTCGAAGATTTCAAAATCCACGGATTTATCTTTTGGAAATGGGGGTTCCCTAAAGGACCCAATGGACCGCAAGGCCAACACATTCCTCCGAAGAGCGTGGAAAGCGTCCGCTGTAAACTTTAAACCACCAATAGCATCAACCTGCGTTTCCAGAACCCTAGGCTTATGGTTGGGCCAGCTCCGCTCTCACCTTGAACAAGGCACGCTGGCTGAGGAAATTCTTAAATCTCTACTGGTTTTGGAAAAAGTAGTGGCCTTTATTGCAGACGCATCACCTGAAACCATTAAATATACAGCAAGACCAACTGCGCTCATAATCTCAGCCTGAAGAGCTATTTGGTCGAAATCCTGGCAGGGGGACATCACTTCCAAATCCAGACTCTGTGGCCTGCCCTTTGAGGGAAAGCTCCTCTTCGGGCCAGAACTGAGCTCGGTCCTCGAGAGGTCTGCCGACAAAAGGAAAGGATTTCCAATCCCCAGCAGGCAAGCGGGACAGAAGTTTTTTTGTCCTAACAGGCAGCACGCAACAAGAGAGGCCAGATTTCATGGCAAGAGGAAAGGAGAAGGGAGGCTTTCTCTTCAACCATAACAAGGACAATACCAAAGCTCCGTCCAACTGACTGGCAGAGCCAGGTGGGAGGAAGGCTGGGACACTTCCACACGCAAAGGTTCCAGACTACCCAGAATGCATTCATCCTAGAAATCATTTCAAACGGCTACAGGATAGAATTTTCACAACTCCCCTCTCACAGGTTCTTCGCAACTTCACTGCCAAGGGAGGAGGGAAAGGCGGATGCACTTGTGAACCTCTTGGAAGAAATGCTCCAACAGAACGTGGTCAGTCAGTTGAAGAAACAAGAAAAGGGAAGAAGATTCTACTCCCACTTTTTTCTAAGAAGGAAGACATCTGGGAAATACAGAATGATACTCAGCCTAAAGAAAGTGAACGAATTCATAAAACCCAAAAAATTTTGCATGGAGACAATCTACACGACGAAAGAAATCCTCCCTCCCGGAGTATTCATGGCATCAGTAAACCTAAAGGATGCATACCTTCACATCCCAATAAAGGAAAAGTCAAAAAAGTTCCTAAGGTTCACACTAAATGGCAAGAACGATTTTGTTCCGATTCAATGCACTTCCCTTTGGCCTGTCTTCAGCACCAAGGATATTTAAGAAAATTCTAGTGGAACCTCTGCAAGCCTTGAGGCTAGAAGAGATAACGTTATCCCCTACTTGGACGACCTTCTCTTGTTTGCGGACATGGAAAGAGCTCTGAAATGCCATGTGGAGCATACAATATCATTCTTGGAAAACCTAGGATGGCTAATAAATACGGAGAAATCACAGTTAGTCCCTTCCAACAGAATCACATATCTTTGGGACACATTCTGGATTCCACAAGCACCTGCTGATACCGAACACCGGAAAAAGAGCGCAGACTACAAAAAGACACGAGGAGCCTCCAGGGGAGGGGATGACAATTTTCACAATCAGAAACTCCCTGAAGCTTGTCTGCCACATGACAGCAGCCATACCGGGGGTACAATGGGTGCAACTACACTCCAGAATCACGTCTTCTCCCACTGGGATGGCAGCCAAGTGTCTCTGGATCCAGCATTCACCTCACACGAGAGAGTCATTGGAGTGGTGGGGGAAACATCCACATGCTGGAAGCCGGGAGGAGATGGAAACCATCCAACCCAACAAAAAATCACTACAGACGCAAGCATGTGAGGTGGGGCGCACACATGGAGGGTTGTCTGACCCAGGGCAAGTGGGACCAGGAAACCGCAAAAAAGTCATCAAATGTCCGGGTATTACTGGCAGTTTTTAAAGTGCTTGCGGCCTTTCAGGAGAAAATAGAAGGGAAAGAGATTCAGGTCCTGTCGGACATTATGACGGCCAACGCATACTTGAACAGACAAGGAGGCACAAGGTCCCCAAGACTAATGGAATTATTATTATACAGTATTTATAAAGCGCCAATAGTTCGCTCAGCGCTGAATTGGTGGAAACCCTCCTGAGCTGGGCAGAAGGAGACCTAAACCTGTTAGCAGACCAGCTGAGCCGAGAGGAAATCAACCAGTCAGAATGGTGCCTCAGTAGCACAGTAATCACCCATATCTGCAGCAGATGGGGCACTCCCTCCATAGATCTTTGCCAACAGAAGGAATGCAAAACTAGGAAAGTACTCCTGCCTTCAAAGAGATCCCCAGAGTGCAGGGACAGATGCACTGGCCCAGCCATGGGAGGAGGACCTCCCGTTACGCTTTTCCACCATTCAGACTACTACCAAGAGTGGTACAGAAAATACAGACGTCTCAGGCCAGAGTCATCCTGATCGCTCTGTTCTGGCCCAAAAGGTCATGGTTCTCCTGCCTGAAGAAGCTGAGCCTAACGGACCCATGGACGATACCACCCACAAAGGACCTACTAGTACAGGGGGCAGTGGTACACCCACACCCAAAAAGCTGTCTCTAACAGCATGACTTCTGAGCGGCATAGGTTAGCTAAAAAAGGCAGATCAGAGAGTGGTCACTACCATCTTGGATGGGCGTAAAAAGTTTACAATTATAACAAAATCTGGAGGAAGTTTTCCTACTGGAGGAATGGGAACGAGTCGCCAGGAGCTCCTATCCTAAATACAATACACAAATTCCTTCAAGCCAGGGCAGAGAAGAACTTAGCCACTAATACACTCAAAGTGCAAGTAGCTGCCCTGCCTAAGTACCTGGAGTTGAAGTTAGCGGAGGATCTCCTGGTGGTCAGATCCCTGAGGGCTGTCTCCAGACAGTCCCGCGCAGTCCCGTGCGTGCCTAAATACCCTCTCTGGGATCTAGGCACAGTTTTTTAAAAAGTTTCCAACATGAGCCATTCGAACCCTTGGGAAAATGTTCTCTCAGGCACTTGACCCTCAAAGCCACCCTCTTGATAATCTTCTTGCAAAGTCAGCAAACTGCAAGCTCTGTCAGTGATAGAGCCTTACTGCACAATCCTGTTGGATAGGATTATCCGCCATACGGATCTGTCATTCCTACCAAAGGTTGTGTCACATTTCCATAGAAAACAAGAAATTGTAATGCCATCCTTTTGTAGGAGCCCAAGCAATGCCAAAGCCAATTCCCTCTAAAGGCACCATTGCAAGATGGATAAAAGAAGCCATCTCAGAAGGCTACGAAACTGTGTCACTGGCTCCACCACCTGGCTTGAAAGTGCACTCGACTAGGGCCATCGCATCTACATGGGCAGAGAGAGCTGGCGCCTCCCCTGGACAGATCTGCAGGACCGCAACATGGTCCAGCTTCAGCATCTTTGCCAGGCACTACCGGTTGGATCTGATTGCCAACAAGGACCAGGCGTTTGGGAGGAAGGTCTTGCAAGCGGCAGTCCTGCCCTAATGTATGTATTCCTATTCAATCCTCTCATGTGAAGCTGTCCTGAAAGATGCCTTGGGAAAACAGTTATTTACCTGTTAACTGTATTTCCAGGAATCTTCCAGGACAGCGTGGCTCCCTCCTGATTACTGTTTAGTTACATGCTGGCGTTCCGTCATTTAATGGAGTGGACATATATTGTTCATACTGTTATCTTTGTGCTTTATCCTAGGCCTTCAGTTATATTCCTGTACTGAGGATCCCTGGGGAGAGAGGCTACTTATAAGGAAAAAGTGGATCGGGTGTTTCCTGGTGGGAGGAGCCCATCTCTCATGTGAAGCTGTCCTGGAAGATTCCTGGAAATACAATTAACAGGTAAATAACAGCGTTTTTATACTAGTAATGGCAGCGATCCACGACTTATAGCGGGACTGCAGTATTTGGGCGGACAGTCTGACACTAACTGACACTTTGTGGGAAGCAGTGACACTATTACAGTGATCAGTGCTAAAAATATACACTGTCACTGTATTAATGACACTGGCTTTTTGTGTGTACTGTTTTTACTAGGCAATCTGCTAGATTTTAGTCCCTGAATAAAATCTGGCAGATTGCCATTGATATAATCCTGTTCTGCCTTTCATACAAAGGCAGAGCTGTATCCTGTCAGTCTCCTTGGCGATCAAAAGGTGCTGGCGCTCATCCATTGGCCAGTGCTTGTTGATCGGGTTCTGTAGTGTCCAATCACAGCAGAAGAGGTGGTCCGGTGGCATGCACACAGCCCCCAGTGGTGGAGCTGCTATACTCCCTGTATTCTGGTTCATGTAAAAACTCACAATGACAAAGAATGACAAAATCAAGGGAGAAATCTAGCTTTGGGAGTTTACTTTGAAGTTTTAAAAGCAAGATGTGTTTTTGGCTGGAATTATCATTTAAGGCTTTGCCCACATACATTGCTTACTTGCACGAAAGGTTCAGTCTTTTGCTTGAATGATATACTGTAAGATTATTGTTGGGGGCCCCCCCAGGCTTTGTCAAGTTTTCCGTTGTTCACAGCCATCAAGGAAAAAGTCTTTAAATACGTCAAAATTCATGAAAGATCCCCTTAAATCATGCTTTTTTAAATCAATGAACTTTGAAAGTTTGCAGGCTTTAGATTTCTGAAAATGTTTGTCAAGCTATATTTTAATGGACATAACGTACAATCCTTGTACGGATTCCTATTCTTTTAGTGAAAATCTTCCTCTGTCCTATCCCCCCTGCCCCCAGAATCCTCGTGCTGTCACAGGCTCTCCTTAGGAGAGCTTGACTATGCGGTTATGCCTTCCTTTTTGGCCCAGCTGCATTCATGCATAGAAGCCATACTAAAGCTATAAATGGTAAACCATCTAAGAATGGTGGCTGGGAGGGATGATTGATAGCTCCGTCGCCTCCATTCATAGATTGTGTTCCATTCATAGAAGCTGTAGTACTTCTATGAATAACATAGCTTGGTGGAAAGGGCAGACACAGCCAGACTGTCTTGATGAGAACCTGCGACAGCCCATTAGTTTCATCAACCTTCGCACTGAAGGTTTACAGTGATGGGGTGGGGAGGGACAGAAAGGGGGGAAAATTTTCATTAACAGAAGAGGAATCCACATAAGCTACATCCTGCTGACTATACATTATATACCTGTGCTAATTTTATTGCTTGTGATTTTTGCTGTGCTTAGGCAATGTATGAGTTACAAATATAACATACTTGCCTCTATGCTGCATCATCACTCTGTCCCCCTGCCAACTGTTAGACCAAGAACGAAGTGCCTGCAAGCTAAATGAAAAAAAATCTGTCAGTTTATGGTCCTATTTGGTCTATTAAAGTTACTGTTAAGTGTTTTTTTTTTTGCAATTTCTGTTTGATAAGTGCATAAATTACCTGTTTATCCTGCCAGAATTTCAGTGCTGGGCTGTGTCTTTTGCACTTTTCAGTGGTATTGTGAGCCGTATTCTCAGTTCTCCTCAGTTCACTAATGCCCTCTATTTTGACCTGTATTATGGAGGTGAAGGGAGGCCAGGTGTTCTGTAGTTTAACATACTTCCTGTCCTAGGGTGACAATGCTGTGTCAGTGAGTGAGTGTTGTCAGGGAAGAAAGTGTGTTATTGACAGGCTCACCAAGTTAAAATAAAGTGAAAAAAGCCTGAAAAAAAACCTAAAAAACCATCACACCAAAGGTCTGATAAACTGCAACAAATACCATTTCTGTTCTTTGGTTTAAACAGATTTTAAAGGCCAAATAATAGATACATCCACATTTTGCAGAAAAAAGTTGCCTTTATTATTTTTTGCATACAAGCCTACAAAGCATTGACCCTGCAATCAGTGGATTGCCGGTGCAAAGGATAGGCTCCTGCAGACTCTTCTTCCAGCTTCATGTCCACAATAAAGTATGGACTTTAGGTTACAGAGCTTGTGTTACACTGATAACTGGAAATGCTGTGGTGGCAGATGGGATATGTAATTTATTCATTCACGGATATCTATTAAAGAATGATGTGGCTGAGTGGGCAGAACCATGCAAAATTAAAAAAGTTACAGAAGCTGTGTTCCTGTGGTGGTAGGAGCACCATGTCATATGTTAAGTATGAGTGAAAAAAGAATTACACTTTAGCTGTATTACAGATTTAACCTTTATTTTTTTTTTTTATTGCAGTGTTTTAATAATTGGTGCATCTGGAGGAGTTGGCACAGCTGCCATCCAGGTATTTTGCTTTGCAGTTACAAATTTTTCTTTTTAGCTTCAGTATTGCGGTTTTTCCTATTCAGTATACATTATCCACACTATATTTTGGCATACCTCCTTTAGTAGTCTACTAATATTTTGTAACAATATTCAAGGTGCATTTTGTTTTATCTGTGAAATTTACACCGGGCAGATACGAATTTTATTGCACACTCTAAACCTGTTTGTTTTTTTGGGGTATATATAAATATAAAAGATGATGTTACGCCGAGTAGATAGATACCAAGCCTGTCATAGTTTAAAATTGCACACTCCCGTGCATTGGCGACACACTAGGTACATTTTATTATGCATGGGCGACACATTCAAAAACCTTTACAGGTTACCACTTTAGATTTACACAGGAGGTCTATAACTAGAATGATTGCTCTCGATCTGCTGTTCGCGGTGATACCTCACTTGTGTGGTGCATTTGCTGTTTATGTATGTGTGCGGTATCAATGCTTTGCATCTGAGCACAGGGATTTTTTTAATTATATTTATTGTTATTACAGGGAATGTAAATATTCCTTGTGAAAGCAATAGGCAGGGACAGGTACTCATTGCTGAGAGATCTGGGGTCTATTAGACCCTAGATCTCTCCTCTGCTCTTAAAAGCTTCAGATCATACAAAGATTGGTATAAGCTAATGCTTTTTTCAAATCACTAATGGTTTGTTTACAACCAGTAAAACTGGAAGTAACTAAATACCCGTCGCTTCAAGTTTCTTAGACCATAGAGATGGTCGGGCCATTCTGGTTCCCAATCAGCTTTATGGTCAGCGGGCGGTACCGCCGGCTGCACTCTCAGGTTCCTCAGTGGGGCAGGAGAGCCTGGGAGGGCTGCAGGGGGGAATGACCCCTCATGCCGAGTGTAAAAGCAATCCAGCGGCTAATTAACTGCTAGGACTGCTTTTACATGAAAGCAGACCACAGCTGAAAAAAAATGATTCAGGGATGATGCCCGCAGCTGCAGGCATCATCCCAGTATAACCACTCAAAGTCCAGCGATGTACAGGTACGAAGCTGGCCTGCAAGTTGAGATATGAAGATACAAACTATTGGGCACTGAGATAGGATAAATACTGAGGTAATTGTAGAATGTATGATCCAGTGATTTGGCTGGGCTGTGTTTTTCTCCCTTAACCTCACGGTGGTCTGATGTCCATGGATGGTGGCAATTTATGGGCAGTTCTAAATATTTATTATAGGGAAAAGATGTCGATCTGTACACTTTTGCCCTAAAAACATGCCTATACTTTCACATGAATACAGTATATGATCAAAACAGTTTTGCATAGCTTCACATACATTACAATAGTTCATAAAAAGAATTAAGTAGGAGCTCCCATTTCATTTCTCTGTGGTAGAGTATGTGTTTCTATGACAGATTTATACTTGTATTGTGTGTATTTAACTTGACATATACAATATACAGTTAGGTCCATATATATTTGGACACAGGCACAATTTTAGTTTTTTTCAGGTATTTACCAAAATATATTCAAGCTATAGTTATATAATGGATATGGGCTCAAAGTGCACACTCTCAGGTTTAATTTCAGGGTATGTACATCCAAATTGGAGGAAGGGTTTCGGAATTACAGCTCTTAAGAGTAGCCATCCCCCCTTTTTCAAGGGACTAAAAGTAATTGGACAATTGAATCAAAAGCTGTTTCATGGCCAGATGTGGGCTACTTCTTCATTATGTCTTCATCAATTAAGCAGGTAAAAGGTCTGGAGTTAATTCTAAGTGTGGTATTTGCATTTGGAATCTATTGCTGTGAACCTACATCATGCGTTCAAAGGAACAGTCCATGCAAGTGAAATAGGTCATTGTAAGCTTCAAAAATGAAACAAATCCATCAGAGAGAGAGCAGCAACATTCGGCGTAGCCAAATCAACAGTTTGGTACATTCTGAGGAAAGAAGAACGCATTGGTGAGCTCAGCAACATAAAAAGGCATGGACGTCCATGGAAGACAACAGTGGTGGATGATCGCAGGATCCTCTCTATGGTAAAGAAAAACCCATTCACAACATCCAGACAAGTGAAGGACACTCTCCAGTAGGTGGGCGTATCATTGTCAAGTCTACAATCAAGAGAAGACTTCACAAGAGTAAATACAGAGGGTTCACCACAAGGTGCAAACTATTCATAAGCCTGAAGAATAGAAAAGCAAGAATAAACCTTGACAATAAACATCTAAAAAAGCCAGACCAGTTCTGGAAAAGCATTATTTGGATGGATGAAACTAAGATTAATCTGTACCAGAATGACTGGAAGAAAAAAAGTGCAGAGAAGGCTTGGAACAGCTCCTAATCCAAAGCACACAACATCATCTGTAAAGCATGGTGGAGGCAGTGTGATGGCATGGGCATGTCAGGCTTCCAGTGGCACTGGGTCATTGGTGTTTATTGATAAAACAGAAGCAGTAGGATGAATTCTGCAGTATTTAGAGATATACTGTCAGCCCAGATTCAGCCAAATGCAGCAAAGTCGATTGGACGGCTTTTCACAGTACAGATGGACAATGAGCCAAAACACTGCAAAAGCAACCCATGAGCTTTTGAAGGAAAAGAAGTGGAATATTCTGCAATGGCTGAGTCAATCACCTGATCTCAATCCCATTGAGTATGCATTTTACTTGCTAAAGGCAAAACTAAAGGCACAAACAAAGAACAACTGAAGACAGCTGCAGTTAGAGCCTGGTAAAGCATCAGAAAGGAGGAAGCCCAGTCTTTGGTAATGTCCATGGGTTCCAGACTTCAGTCAGTCATTGCCAGTAAAGGATTCTCAACAAAATATTAAAAGAACATTTTATTCATGATTATATTCAATTGTCCAATTACTTTTGGTCCCTTGAAAAAGGGGGGATGGCTGTTCTTAAGAGCTGTTATTCCTAAATCCTTCCTATAATTTGGATGTACATACTCTGAAATTAAACCTGAGAGTGTGCACTTTGAGTCCATATCCATTATATAACTATAGCTTGAATATGTTTTGGTAAATACCTGAAAAAAACTAAAATTGTGCCTGTGTCCAAATTATATATGGACCTAACTGTGTGTGTGTGTGTGTGTGTGTGTGTGTGTGTGTGTATATACAGTCAGGTCCATAAATATTGGGACATCGACATAATTATAACATTTTTGGCTCTATACACCACCACAATGGATTTGAAATGAAACGAACAAGATGTGCTTTAACTGCAGAATGTCAGCTTTAATTTGAGGGTATTTACATCCAAAATAAGGTGAACGGTGTAGGAATTACAACAGTTTGCATATGTGCCTCCCACTTGTTAAGGGACCAAAAGTAATGGGACAATTGGCTTCTCAGCTGTTCTATGGCCAGGTGTGTGTTATTCCCTCATTATTCCAATTACAATGAGCAGATAAAAGGTCCAGAGTTCATTTCAAGTGTGCTATTTGCATTTGGAATCTGTTGCTGTCAGCTCTCAAGATGAGATCTAAAGAGCTGTCACTATCAGTGAAGCAAGCCATCATTAGGCTGAAAAAACAAAACAAACCCATCAGAGAGATAGCAAAAACATTAGGCGTGGCCAAAACAACTGTTTGGAACATTCTTAAAAAGAAGGAACGCACCGGTGAGCTCAGCAACACCAAAAGACCCGGAAGACCACGGAAAACAACTGTGGTGGATGACCGAAGAATTCTTTCCCTGGTGAAGAAAACACCCTTCACAACAGTTGGCCAGATCAAGAACACTCTCCAGGAGGTAGGTGTATGTGTGTCAAAGTCAACAATCAAGAGAAGACTTCACCAGAGTGAATACAGAGGGTTCACCACAAGATGTAAACCATTGGTGAGCCTCAAAAGCAGGAAGGCCAGATTAGAGTTTCCCAAACGACATCTAAAAAAGCCTTCACAGTTCTGGAACATCATCCTATAGACAGATGAGACCAAGATCAACTTGTACCAGAGTGATGGGAAGAGAAGAGTATGGAGAAGGAAAGGAACTGCTCATGATCCTAAGCATACCACCTCATCAGTGAAGCATGGTGGTGGTAGTTTCATGGCGTGGGCATGTATGTCTGCCAATGGAACTGGTTCTCTTGTATTTATTGATGATGTGACTGCTGACAAAAGCAGCAGGATGAATTCTGAAGTGTTTTGGGCAATATTATATGCTCATATTCAGCCAAATGCTTCAGAACTCATTGGACGCCACTTCGCAGTGCAGATGGACAATGACCCAAAGCATACTGCAAAAGCAACCAAAGAGTTTTTTTAAGGGAAAGAAGTGGAATGTTATGCAATGGCCAAGTCAATCACCTGACCTGAATCCGATTGAGCATGCATTTCACTTGCTGAAGACAAAACTGAAGGGAAAATGCCCCAAGAACAAGCAGGAACTGAAGACAGTTGCAGTAGAGGCCTGGCAGAGCATCACCAGGGATGAAACCCAGCGTCTGGTGATGTCTATGCGTTCCAGACTTCAGGCTGTAATTGACTGCAAAGGATTTGCAACCAAGTATTAAAAAGTGAAAGTTTGATTTATGATTATTCTGTCCCATTACTTTTGGTCCCTTAACAAGTGGGAGGCACATATGCAAACTGTTGTAATTCCTACACCGTTCACCTAATTTGGATGTAAATACACTCAAATTAAAGCTGACAGTCTGCAGTTAAAGCACATCTTGCTCGTTTCATTTCAAATCCATTGTGGTGGTGTATAGAGCCAAAAATGTTAGAATTGTGTCAATGTCCCAATATTTATGGACCTGACTGTAATCTGTTCAAGAAGGATGTAGCTGTCATGAAGCAGTTTCCATGACGGGAGAGTGTGATATTCCAACGGAAAGAAGTGACATGATTATGACCAGAACGCTCTGAACACTGTAAGCTGCTTTGCACACATACATACTGTATATTTCTTTGTCCTGGCGTGATCATGTTTCTATATTTCAGTTATTAAAAGCATGGGGGGCACATGTGACTGTTGTTTGCTCTGGAGGAGCTCAAACATTGATGAATGACCTGGGAGCTGATGATGTTATTGATTACACTACAGCAAGCCTAAAAGACCAACTGAAGACAAGAGACCTGTAAGTGTTTTTTTTTGTTGTTAAAGTTTATTGATAAATGTGACTATTGCGGTATTATCCTCCGTTACAATACAAGAAGCACATTGATCTCTAAAGTATTGGTTCCTCTCACGTACCACATTCACTCACCTTTGCATACCTTTATTCGCACACAGGGGAAACCATGTAAGTGAAAAGTTAAACATTGTAGATTTTGTTTGCAATTTAGACTGCTTTGGATATATTAAGCTCTGGTTTCCAGGTTTTAATGAAATTGACCAAACAAGCTCTTCTTATATACTGTATATCAGCTTATACTTTGGTAGGGGCTCACTCACTAGCAGCTAGCTAATTAAGCACTAGCTTAATGAATGTTGCATTTTATAGAGGTAAAGATAATTTGACATAGAAGAAAAAACACCTTGTGTGCATAGACCATGATCAGGGAGAACACTGTTCTGGCATATGTATGTTAAGTAAGTTTGTTAAAGATCTCAAGCAGGTATAGCTCTAGTGTTTTGTAGAGCAGCAAAATCCATCTTCCCAATTGATTGAGCATGAACTTACAACATAAAGATGTGTGTTTTACAGCATAACTAAAACATGATATACAGCGGAACTGCTTTCCTTAAAGGATAAGTTTACCTTTTGGAAGAAGTCTCCCCATGCTATCTGTCAAATTTGATAACAGCGTGGTCGTGCGGGGCTCCACCCATATGGCCACAACATTAACTCACGGACTTCCTTGAATTAATAAACTGCAGATCCTGACAGCCTTAGCGGCTGTCGGCTTGTAGTTTTCAGTGAACCACCACGGTGCTGTGGAGTGCAGTGGTAGTTCATTGAAGCTTCCTGTCAGTATATCTGCTTGCTTGTATATCCCATACAGCAAGACGATATTCTGACAGGTCTGCAGGAGACTTGCATGGCATCAGCAATCTACTGATCGCTGGTGCAATGCTTTCCAGGCTCTTGTACGCAAAAATAATAAATGCACATTTATTTACCTGCAATTATTATTTTTGTCTAAAAGGTGAACTTATCCTTTAAAATGTGCTCTTATTTTAATATATTGATATGCAAGGGAAGGACAAGATAATGAACAGGTAACTACAAAGTATGCAAATGTCAAGGATCCAGCATGGAGTAGGGACACTGCCTTCAGAGGACTTTCTTGACATATACAAATCTTCTAAAAATAAAGTCCTCCAGGTTTTTCATTGATGTAGGGGATAGAAATCTGCTCTGCATTCTATATTGATGTTTAGACCTTCTGGGAAGCAGCCCACGGTATTTGACATCCTCTCAGCATTCCTACAAAGCTTGACTTTGTTAAACATTGTTTATACGGGCTGTGATAGAAGCACTGACTGTCAGAGCGGAGTATAAAGGATCTGAAAGACACTGGAAGAGCATTGTTGTAAGGAAAGGATGCCCAAGAGACCAGACCGGGTAGTTGAGAGTCAGAACCCTGTGTTCCACCCTTTACTCTGAATAAAAGTGGGCAGGAGCCCTTAATTCACACCTGGCCGAGTGGACTGAGTCCTTAAAAGCTCAGTATTTGAACAGGCCCTGTCACAAGGCATTATTGCTGTGAAATATGGAAACATAATGAGGAAACCTTATTTGCACCATACATTTTACCTGGTTCTGTAAACCAGCCTCATAAACTATCCTCCTAGGTACATGATGTTGCAGAACAGCCACTAGATATAAAGAATATGTAAACCCAACATTTTTATATTCCTGATATGTGCCTGCTGTACCATGTACTTGTATGAAGATGTATCCTGTTCCCTGTTCTCTTTGTATTGATTCCTTTTCTGTAAAATCCCTGGTGATTCTGCCAGTCCCTCTGTTTGCTTGCCTATTAAAAACTGACCACACTAAGCAGAACACACCATGGTCAGTTCTCTAGCTTGTAGGATAGCCAAGGACTCCTTTCTATGTTCATTTATGCACGAGGTAATTACCTTACCTTTGTTCAAGTTTATCTGATTTAGATTTGGGAAAGGTCTTAAATATTCATAGTGCAATTTTGCCCCAGGGTCAGGAGAAAGTGTGACAGGAGAAAGTGGGTCCTATGAGTGTGTCTGATGATTGCATGAGTATTCTGGGTACCCTGTCATCTGCCCTGTCTCTGTTTTTTATTAACTGTTTCTGAGCTGATTAAATGCATCTCTCTGGAAAAGAACTGTTGAACTAGTTGCTGCGGGAAAATACATTTATAAATACACTGGTCATCCATTCTGCTTTATGAATTGTATCTGAGCCCATTACATCTCTCTGGAAAAGAAACGCTGTATTTCCCATAATAACAGACAACATAGCTGTGCTGGGAACTCGACCTGCTCTCCTCCTTGTCACCCTCCCACACAGCCTTTCACTGGGAAGATCAGTGTGCTGCTGTTTCTCCTCCCCTAGCTATTCTGCAGCTGAGAACAGAGGGAATGTGATCACTTATTAAAAAAGGGGAAAAAGGTATTTTATAATGTTTTTACAAGGTGAGGTTTTCACAATCACTTTAATAGAAGACTTAAAGTGATATTAAACCAAACATTTATTATATTGCAGCTTAGCAATTCTTAGCACTGCTGCATTTGTTTTCTTTTTTTTAGACTATCTTTCTTTTATTTATTATCAAACTTGTCCTACATACCTGCTCTGTGCACAGAGCAAGCCTGATCCTCTTCTTGTTGGGTCCCGCGCCAATGCTCCTGGCCCCTCCCTCTTGCCCAGTGCCCCCAATAGCAAGCCACTTTCTATGGGGGCACTGGTGCGTGCTCACTCCCATGCCAAGCTCAGATCCATAAGACACATAGAGCTGCAGCTCTGCCCCGCCCTCTCCTCATTGACTCACTGACTGAGATTGACAATGCCATTGGCTCCCACTGTTGTCTCAGCCAATGAGGAGCAGAAGAGCTTTGGGATAGCCGAGGCTCTTCTGCACATCACTGGATTGAGAAGGGGCTCAGGTAAGTATTAGGTGGGGCTGAGAGGAGAGCAGCACGCATAAGTTTTTTTACCTTCATGCATAGAATGCATAAAGTTAAAAAAACCTTCAGCCTTTACAACCACTTTAAAGGACTGAAACAAATAGGGGTGCTTACAATGGTCAGTTTTTTGGGTTTTGTCATCTAAAACATTTATCCCAAAAGATACAGCAAAAGTTTTTCGTGTTTTTTTTTTTTTTTTTTTTTTTTTTTTTTTTTTTAAATCTGATAAAGTGTTTGGCTTCAGTTTGTTTATCTAAATCTGCTAGTGCAGCTGACACTCCCCGTGCCCCCCAGACTGACAATGCTGCTGTCCAAGGGTCTGTGTTGCTTCTTCATCCAGAGTGTAGGCACTCTAATACAGGAGGCATGTTAGTGGTCAGTACACTAGGCAAAAACAGAGGGGAGAAAGCCTAAAAAAAGAAATCTAATGCAGTCATCGTGTGTAAGGATTCTTAAGCTGCAATTTGTGTTGGTTTTGGGTTTTAAAACTGCTTTAGGCTACATTTCACACTGGTGATTTAGGCTGGTGCAAATTGTAGCAGCAAGAATCTCATGATGCCTGCTGTGACCTATCCTCTCCCAGCCACAGCAGGAATCAAGATGCCTGCTGCTACCATTCACACCAGCCTAAATCTCTTGTGTGAATGTTGCCCAAAACCCAAAGCTGATTAAATTTCCACCTGTCCCCAATCTGGCTGCTGTCAGTAAAATCTCTACTTGGCACACAATTACTGTTTTGTCCACTCTGGAAAATAATGAACAGATACAATTTATCTTTCATTTTCAATGTTTAACTGAACAAAGTAGTTAGAAGCTGATGCTCCAGTTTGAATAAATTCCTTCTCTGTTTTAAAAATAGTTTTTTGGCTTGTTTTGGTCAGCTTTGTAGAGAGTTTTTATTTATTTATTTTTCTTCTAAAGATTAAATGAAATGGCATTTTCTAGAATAGAAGATATGCACTTACCTTTTACGTGCCTGTAATGCCAGTCTCCCAATTTATAATTTGATGTCAGCAGTAATGTTTGCGTACATACAGTATGTAACTACCCTGTTCCCAGTCATCGGGCTGTATTTTAAATGACCGAATTCACGAGCTCTCAATCAATGAGCATGGCTTGATGCAGCTATTCTGTTGTGACAGATGATGGTAACAGCATGGACACCACACGTGTACAGTGCATGTTACCTGTATAGTCTTATGGTCATGTATGCAGATGGCAGGTGCATGTGCACATTTGCATTTGTAAGTGAGTAAAACTGTGAAAAAAGCAAACTGTTCTAAATACAGGTACATTCATTTCCACTCAAGGACTTACATCTTATGCTAGTGGTCATCGTTACAGGGTTTCAGCTTTCTGCTTACTGTTGGTCCTATAGAAATCTATGGGAAATCTATGATATCTAGACAGAGTGTAGAACAAGTTGACTCAGTTGTGTTTGGCATTGGGCTAGAGGATGAAAGTGACACAACACAGCCAGTTCATCTTGCTCATTGGAATATACAAATATATTAAAAAATGTCAGCACTCAGTGCTAAAAAAATTAGGAGCCTGATGATGCGCTCTTGCGCAAAACAGCTGTAAAGAGGTTTTATTGATATGCCAGAGGTCCTGCCGCCACTCTAACCTGAGATTGGCGGCCAAACATATAAGTGATATCTTTTGGATGGATGCTTTAATATATGTTTGTAAAACCATTTGGTTTTGGATACCCATTTTAATAAAATTACTACACTATAAGACCTTTTTCATTGTTGATGGTCCTTTTTTGTGGTTTTGACGGGCTAAGAGTGATGGAGAGAGATTGATTCGTTTGGAGCACTTTTTCTTGGGGAAGAACTTCACTTTCTAACATTTCCTGCTGTTCTGTTTATTTAGACAGCAACTGAGTCTGGTGAGTGTGCACTTTTATTTAAGGGGGAGGTTCAGCACCATTCAAGTCACCATATGTCGAAAACATTTGAAGATGTGATAAGAGAAGAGAAATTTTTCCTTAAATATTTGACATTTTTGGACCGTTTTATT